GCTGCGAGGCGGTGGCCGCGGGCCGCGCCGCCTCCAGCGCCTCCAGCGCCGGCAGCAGGGCCAGCGGCGCGGCGCCGGCCTCCGCCAGCGCGGCGTGCGGGTCGCGGCGCAGGCCCAGCACGCCCAGCACGGGCGCCAGGCAGCGGCAGGCGAAGGTGAGGTCGGCGTCGGCGCGGGCCAGCGCCTCGCGCGTCACCGCACGGCGCGCCGCCTCCACACACGCACGCGCGTGCGCCACCAGGCATGTCAGCGTGGGCGGGCTGGCCAGGGCCTGGAGCCAGGCGGCCTGGGCCTCCGGCGCCGAGGCCCCGCCCCCGACCCGGCCCCAGGCCATCTGCAGGATGGTGGGCAGCAGGAAGAGCGCGCCCTCCCCCAGGCCATCCTCGCCGCTGCGGCAGGAGAGCAGGAAGGGCAGCAGCGCCACCACGCGGTCGGACAGCGCCAGCGGTGCCTCGGCAAGGAACCTTTGGTCATGGGTGAGGGCGGGGGGGAGAATGTGGGTGGGAAACGACATCGCGACTCCGTCTTCAGGGTGTGGATCTTCAGGGAGAGGAGTGGCCGTGGGTGCACGGGCGTGGAACCCCTCCCTTTACATGGAGCAGCCGGTACGAATGGGGAGAGGCAATGCACACTGCGGGTGTGTCGGCCTGCTTGAGTGGTGTGCATCACCATACTGGTATCTCATCAGTTTCACTGCCAGCTTCGGAGCGGGGTGCACACTCCCAGGGCGCCACGGGCACCCGTGGCGCCTCCGTACGAACTCAGCCCTCATCCCTTGTTAAACCGAAAAGAGACCATGCGCACCTTCCCAGCAGGCGCACGCCCGCCAGGGTCAGCGGCGCCCTGGCCGCGCCTTCCCTGCCAGCCACCTGCTCCAGGTACTGCAGCACCCCCTCCACTGCCTCCTGCACCGCGGTGAGCACCGCCGCCGCAGTGGCCGGGTCGATGCCCGGCCCCGCCTCCGAGCCCTGGCTGGAGGCGGGGGAGGGCAGCGCCTCGTCCTCGCCGTCGGCCAGGGCCTCGATCGCGCTTTCTATCACCTCGAAGCAGGCGGGCAGCAGCGCGGTGGCCCGGGCCTGCGGCGTCTGGTGCGGCCCCTCCCACCTCATCTCTGGATTGTTGTGTTGAAGAGGGTGGAGGGCGGGTTGAGGAAGGAGAGATCGGGGGGCATGTAGAGCCGTCAGAGGGCCATGCAGAAGCATCTCCTGCTGCACAACAGGGAGTCCTGGCCCTGACATGCAACCTGATGCGCCGGACGCCCTCAGGACAGACAAAAGGAGGCTGCGACAGGGAGTCCCCCAGTCAAACCCCCTTGCCTCCCTCACTCACCTGTCGGCACCACCACACTGTCCACGCGCTCCTGGGTTTGCCCCGGCTTGGGCACGGCGCCGAAGCTGGCGCCCCGCGAGCTCGCCGCGCCGCCGTCCCCCACCGCCCACCCCCCCGTGCTGGTGCTGGAGCTGGCGCTGCCGCCGCCGCCGCCTCCTCCGCCGCCGATGTCCATGGCCGAAAAGGCGCGGGTGGTGGAGCTGGGGCTCGCCGCTCCATGGTCGGGCACCTGGATGCCGGAAGGGGGCGCTAGCGCGTCCAGCAGGAGCACCCCCACCTCAATCCTGGCCACTGTGGTGGCCAGGAGCAGGAAGGCCGGGTCAGGGGCGGCCAGCCAGCGCGGTCCCAGCAGGGCTGTGCCGGCCGCTGCCAGCTGCAGCGCCGCCAGGCGCTGGGGCACGCCCGCGCGCGCCCTCAGGATCTGGCCCAGGCCCGTTCGCAGCGGCGGGCCCCACTTGTGCGCCGTGCCTGACGGGGACCGCGCAGTTAGCGAGGGATGAGAGGGTAAGTGCATGGGTGCTGAGGATGGCTGGGAGCCGAGCTTGCTGCTGGTCCATCCTGCACCCAGCCCAACTCAACAAACCCCAATAGTGCTTGGGTGCTCTGGAACCTCACAAGAGGCAACCAGCACCCAGGCGAGGGCCTGGAAGCCGCCCCCCGAACTCTACCAGGCAACCACCACGACCCTGTCCAAACCTACCGCGCAGCCGGTCCTCCAGGTGGGTGGCCGGGAGGGGCAGGATGCAGAGCAGGGCATTCAGGCTTTCCAGCTGCACCTCCACCGCCGCGTGCCGGCGCTGGCTGGGCTCGATTTCCCCGGCCAGGCCCTCCTCTATGGGCAGGCGCCGCGCCAGCAGGGGCACCGCATCCCCCACCTCCCTCCAGTGTGCTGTGTGTGTGTGAGTGGGGGGGGGATGTTGAGAAAGAAGGGGTTGGTGGGTGGGGAGGGCAAGGGGCCCGGGCAGCCCCGAAGAGGCTTTTCGGGGGGATGTGGTGGCCCCCTATTGCCGTGCAGGCATCACGCTCTGGCGTGCAGGGGGGGCTGGCTGCCTCCACACCCAACACCCTCACGCATGCACGCCACTCAGTGGATGCCCCAAGCCTCTTCCCGGCCCCATTAAATGCCCACCCTGGATCTCCACTCACCGGCAAGGACCCCGGCTCGGTCGCGCGAGGGGAGCAGGGCCGCGACCAGCCTGCAGGCGGTGACCACCCCCGCCACGTGGTACTCTCCCTCCAGGGGGCCCTCCCTCTCCGCTCGACGCAGCGCCGCGACGGCGCACTCCAGCGCGCCGCTCTCCAGGGCCACGCGCCGGGCGGAGCCGGAGGCCAGGCAGGCCGCCAGAATGCAGGCGAGCGCATCGGCGGTGGACGCGAGGGCGGCCGCCCGCGCCTCGCCCTCCTCCTCCCGGTCTCGCAGCGCGGCGCCCATGTCGGCCTCCATGGCGGGGACCACGCCGCCAGCCCGCGCCACCTATGTTGAGGTGGGAGGTGGGAGCGGAGGATGTGGGAGGGGCCACGGGATTGATGCATGGCGTCGGCACTCCCCTCCTCCCAGCCCCAACCTCAGAGTTTGCAGACATCAACCCACCAAACCCAGGGCTGCGGTCACCTTGAGGAGGAGGGGGATGCAGCCCTCCAGCTCCTCCCCGATGGCCACCTCGGGGGCAGCGCTGAGCCTGGCCCACATGACGACACCCAGGGCGACCATGGCTGCCTCCTGCCCGGTGCGCCTGGCATTAGGGTCCTGAGAGGGCCGAGGTGGGGTTGGGTGGACGTGCAGGAGTTGGGGACGGGAAGCCCGCCCTGGGGTAGGCGCACACCCTGGGCAGGACCAGTTTCAAAGTACCTGCTTCAGGGGCAGCAGCAGCCTGTGCAGGAATAGGGGTCCCACGGCACTGTAGATGGCCGAGAGGACGTCGGCGGTGGCTGTGGGGGTGAGCTTCGTGACGAGAAGTAGGCCCACGAACCTGAGAGGGGTGCAACGAGGGTGCGGTGGGGTTACAGCCGGACCCTCCCCGATACCAGGATTTCCCAGTCACATGACCTTTACACGTGCTCATACTTCTTTTCATCGCTGGAGGACCTCAAGAGATCCAGACACGTCGCGAGGTGGGGCTCGGGCGGTACCGATTCCGGCACCTCGCTGGACGCCATGCCCTCACTGAGCCACTGTTGCCCTCGACACCCTCAAATCTGGAACACTAGACATCCATTTATTTTCTTATGGCGGCATGCCGAGACTCGCCTCACAAGCCGCTGTGCACCCGCTTAGAATCTCGATTTCCTGAAAATCATTCCGCGCGCCCTCGCCGTTTCCGAGCGAATTGAACCCCATCCGGTTCTCTTGCTCCGACAGCGCTTGCAACGCGCTCGACCGTTCGTCCCCAGGATTCACTACCTTACTGCGACAATCCACTTGCATACATTCACAGCTTGTTAGAGTGTTGCGAGATGCATGGCCATCTCATTCTCATCGGTTGTCGGGCCTCCCTCGTCGGGTTGTCCCCAGCCGTGAGACAGTCACTGTTTGAACCCGACTTCAAATGCGAGGAAATTGGCGTATCTTGTAACCGCTTCCGATAGGCTGTGCCCTGTACATTCCAGAAATTCCCGGCAATTCCAGTAAGTGGTTGGCCACGGTTTCCTCACCGCCGTTGATGGGTGGTTCCCGCTCACCACTCTTCATAGGGTCTTCCAAATCCACCCCCCCAGTCCCCTCCACTATCCACCCTAATAGGCTCACTGTGGCATGCATACTCTCAGTACCATGTAGTTGACCTGATAACGCGCCCCGATGGGGCATTGGGGGGTCAAGGGGACAGCATGCCCGGCTGAGTCGGATGGCGAAGAAATGCAGCTGGACGGGTCGAGGCGTACCTGCTGGTCTCCCGAGGTACCTAAAGGGTGGTGGTGGTATGAGATGTTGTGTGGGGCTTGTCAGACGCCGATGGGGTCGAGATAGGTTTGGTCGGCAATTCTCTCGGAATCAGTGTGACGGGGCTTGAAACTGCGCAACGAACCAACAGACCATCCCGCATCGCCTTCCTGAGTCCGAGCAATATATTATCATGGGTGGTTATCCCGGACGCGCCCCTCCCCGTGTCCAGCATGCGCCGATGGCACGGCCGTTGGGAGTAGTTCCCCCTTGAATTTTCAAGCCGCGGACTCCCGCCCGAGCCACCTCAAAGGCCTGAAGCATTGCCCCCCTGCAGGAGGACTTGTGTCTCCTACAGTTGGTCGAGACGTATGGACCACAGAACTGGAGTCTCATCGCCAAGGTGGGTCACCACTGTGCTTTGGGGTGGTGTCACGGAAGCACAAGTGTGCTGTGGGATGCATGTGCCCCCCCGCCCCCCCCCATCCTGCCTTCTCCTGATTGGCTTGAAGCCATTCACAATACTTCTCTTGCACGAATGTCTGCTGTGTGCTGAGGGTCTCCTGAAGCATCCGTTCTCCTCGCTATTTTTTTGGGTGAAGGTGTGATCGAAAACCATGCAGACCGACATACCTTGCAAGGGTGGCTTTCAAACGCGCGCCTGAGCCCTCTCCCCCCTCTGTGCAGAGCTTGGGCAGCGGCCGCAATGGCAAGAGCTGCCGCCTGCGGTGGTTCAACCAGCTGGACCCAAATTTAAAGAAGGAGGCCTTCACCCAGGAGGAGGTGAGCGGGGATGGCACGTGGCGGTGAGGGGTGTGAGCACAGGGTGCCCCAGTTGTGCACGGCAGAGGACTTGCCTGGCTACTGTTTTGGTCGATTGCCCCAGGGTTCCCTGGCTCGGACCTGCGCGGCCCTTGCACCACCGGAAAGCGCGCTCAGCGTCAGCCCCCTGGCGATCACTGGGCAGTTGGCCTCACACCAAACACACACTCCCCCCCCACTATCCAGGAGGAGGAGATCCTGCTGCGCCACGGCGAGCTGGGCAATCGCTGGGCGGCCATCGCCAAGTACCTCCCCGGCCGCACCGACAACGCGATCAAGAACTACTGGAACGGGCACCTGAAGAAGCGGCTGGGGCCCAGCCGGTCAGCCGATGAGGCCGACGCCAAGCGCCTGCGCTCCCTGGCCAGCCTGGCGTTGGATACTGGCCACCGCCCCGGCGGCGGCGCAGCCAGCATGGTTGGCGCGCCTGGGCCGCTGCGGCGCAGCGGCAGCGTGGACGTGGATACGCCGGCCAAGCACGCCGCCTCGCCGCCCGCGCACCGCCACGGCACGCGCGCCGCGACGGGCGCGCTGCGCCCGCGCCAGCTGGACGCCGGCGGCGAGGGGGAGGAGGACCGCGTGGGGCGGGGCTGCGCGGCGCGCGGCTGGGCCGCGGGGGCGGACGCCGAGCCCGCGCCGCGCCGCACGCCGGACCCCTTGCTGGCGGCGCCGGGCGGTGGCCGCGCGCCGATGCGCGGCGCGCGCGACGCCTCCCCCCCGCCCGGCGCCGCCAGCGCCTCTACCTCCGGCGCGCCAGGGCCGGCTACCCCGTTGGCGGCCGACGCGCTGTCCTCCACCGCCGACCTGCTGACCAGCCTCTTCTCGCCGCCGGCGGAGGCGGCCACGCGCGACCAGTCGGCCTTCAAGGCCCACTTCCAGGCAACCTTCGCGCGCCTGGCGGGCCTGCGCGCGCGCGACGGCGCGCCGCCGGGCGCGGCCGCCGCCGCCGCCTCGGCGGAAGCCGCACAGCACTTGGGCCAGGCCATGCTGAGCATGGCTGCCGTCGTGCCGGGGGTGGCCTCCATGGTGGCGGCCATCACCCACCTCCTCCAGCAGCAAGGCGAGTGTTTCTGACGCGGGTGGGGTGATGGAAAGGGGAAACAGGGACACGGGGGCGGCGGTAGGTTGGCTGTGCATCGGGGTGGACCACGAGCATGTCTCGGGGCTGATGCCGTCGAAATTGCTGTTGCCGGGGGCAGCAGTCGTCGGTGCTGTACTACGAGAGAGGACAGAACCCGGGCTGGAGCAACACCTAACCCCCAGGCTTGCCGCTACCAAACCCAACCACCCAAACCCGTCCATATTTCCCGCCAGGCAAACTCCCTGCGGTGCTCCTGGCGCCAGAGGGATCGACAACACCCCACCCCCGCCCGTCCCCAAAGCACGAGCATGGTGGTGGCGGGCAGGCGCCCGCAGCCTTACAATCCAGCCTGGGCGACGTCCTGCGCGCGCGGCTGTCCGGCCTGGCGCCGCGCGGCCAGCGCTTGACCCCGGGAATGGCCGGTGCGTGGGATGGGGCGAGGACTGCATGCAGGAATCTGGGTCCTTTGACGTGGCGAGGGTGGATAGGTTCTCAGAAGCTGAGCCCGCGGAACGGCGCGTGACTGGCATGGCACTGGGCGGCCCATGAATTCCCAGGGCCTATCTGCGATGGGCCTTTCCGCAACCCCCTCCACCACCACGGCCTGCTGCACCAGGGCACGGCGTGCCAGGCGGCGCCCAGGAGCACCACGAAGGGAGGAGCGAGGACAACCCCCTGTCGTTCCTGGCCATGGCTGCCTCCATGGACGCCGTGGAGTAGGCAGACCTTGGCAGACAGCCGCGCTTGGAAGGATACCGCAGCGTGGCAGCGGGCGGGGAATGCAGGGTCAGTGCACTGGAGTGAAACGGAGAGCGGAAGCAGCCGGCTGCCAGCGCAGGATTGCCCTCTCACAAACGTGGACCCTCACACCTCTCATCAGCAGGCGAGGCACTCGCTATCACAATATAAAACCTGCAGGACTTGAAATACAGCACCTAGGTACGTTGCCCATCGACAGTCAGCCCTTTATGAGACATTGTCCACAACAACTGGGCATTCTCGCCTCCCCAGCCCCTTATTGGGGAAGAGAGCAGCCCATGCGCATGCCCAAAGGCGCTCAAGCACCCTTGCCATTTACTCTTGGAACATATGGAACACTGCACCTGTTAACATGATGTTGTGGTCAATTTGGAACTCTGGTGGACTGGTCAGTGATCTCCCGGACTCAGCACGACGAGATGGCCAAGAGGCGCCCAGCGAAGTCACGACGATTCCGGGCGCGACGGAGCCAAACCCCAATCAAACGTGTACCCTCCTCTGGGAAAATCAGATATCTTCATCACCTCTTCCACATCTAGTGCAGTGTGGATAAAGGCCAGGTGGTACCAAGAGTTGTGGGGACGGACTTTGGTGTGTACCCCAGCGACAACAAGAGACCCGCAACGCGTTCGACATCTCGATCAGCATACCCAGCAAACTCTAGAAATCCCTTGCACCACTCCCTGAGTGGGAGTCTGCCGGTACACCGTGCCCATGGCTGACCAGGCAACACCGGAGGGTTCCCTCATAGCCCTCATCGCAGACCAGGATACGGCAACGGGCCTGTTGCTCACTGGAATCGGGCATGTAGACTATCGTAAGAACTCCAACTTCCTCATTGTGGACGAGAGTGAGTGGGAATAGGGAATGGACGGTTAGAAGTGCTGGTGTTGCTGCCTCCAGGTGCAGTTGATGCTTCAAGGGGACTCCAAATCCCTCCCACCCCACCATCCCTCCACAGAAACACCACAAGGGAAGATAGAGGATGCCTTCCGTGAGTTTACAACCCGAGACGACGTTGCAGTGGTGCTCATCAACCAGTCTGTGAGTGCCTGATTGATCTTGGCCATTGGGGAAGGAGTCCTTCTCTGCCTTGTCAGAATGACTATAACCTCATCCCTCTCACTTCTATGTCTTCATTGTTGCATGGGGTGGTATTGCCCTGCGTGTGATGCCCCATGTTTGTTTGATACTGGCAGAATTGGACCAATGCCCACACCCATCTTTCCTCTGAATACCACAACAGGTGGCCGGGACCATCCGGCACCTGCTCAACAACTACACGAAGCCCATCCCTGCTGTGCTCGAGATTCCCAGCAAGGACACTCCCTATGATCCCAGCCAGGATTCTGTGCTTTCAAGGGTCAAGTTTATGTTTGGCGACTCCTGACCTTGTCATCCCTCTTGGCCCTGTATAGTATGCGCTTCCTCGACTCGGACTCGGCGCGGGCAGGTTTCACAGGCTTGAATTTCAGAGGCTGAATCGCAGGGACGGCACATGCAGGCGACAAGATTGGTCAACCAGCAAGGATTCTTTCAGATTCATAGTTTGGTGTTTTGGGGTGGTTCATTGCGGCTGGCGAGTTGAGACGCTCAGCAGCTGCTCCGAGGAGAGCAGCATGAAGTGCACACGGAAACTCGTCCTCGTGAAGAAGAGCGCAGCATCCCCCGGGACAGCCCCTCGCCTGCTCACTTCAGCGTCTCGATGGCGTGACGGACGACATGGAAACCCCTGCAAATATTGGGTTGGGGGGTTGCCGGGTCAACATCAAGCTGGGCGTAAGCGATTGCAACATCAGCATATTGAACTCCCTCGCGTTCACCAACATCTGGAACAGGAAGGCGAGATTGCTAACCCTCAAGTGGGCAGGCTTGCGTTTGACTTCCAAAGGATGTGGCTGGTACACAAGAGGGGTAATCGCAAGGTCCAGCCTTGGCTCACACAAGGGTTTGAAGATGTCCTACAGTCCTGCGATTCCCACACATCACCCGCAGTCCTCCCGCCCCCCCAGCATGTCCCGGCCCCCAACCTGATGACTTCCTCCTCGGGAGCGCCCTTATCCTCATCCAGCGGCTCCCAGGTCCAGCCATCGTTGGACACGGTCCCTGCGACGATGGGCCCTTGCCCTGCTACTTCGACAGCACCCCGCTCCAGAGTCAAAGACTCCAGGCTGGCGTTGGGTTCAGATACGATCAGCACTGTGTCCTGTCCCAGGCTGATGGCAGAGGGCTTTGGCAGTCGTGCCTGCACGGGAAGCGGGTGTGGTTGCAATGCTGCCAGGCATCTTCTGCGCAGACCTGAGGTTGCAGGGTCTGTGCCCATCATCCTTCCCCCCCAAGGACGATGATGATCTATCAAGAAGGAGCATGGACTTCCCTCCCTCTCCCCTCTGTGCACCCCGTCAGTGCCAGGTCCCCACAAAAGGGGTCCACCCCATTCTTCAAAATCATCACACCTTCAGCTGGTCGAATCCGATGGCCCAAGCAGGTGGCCAGACGACGCGGGGCCAGAACTCCAGATCCTCGAGACCGTTGAAGGAGGCGCTGGAAGGGCCGGCGATACACGCTCCCACATGCTCCAACATCTGCCGCATGAGGTTGAGGTGGAGTAGGATGAGGACATTGAGAGGCTCAAGCTGGCGGCATGGGCTTAGGCGATACTGTCAGCACTGGTACTCCACACCAGCTTTGAAGGGACAATACCTGCACGTATAAACAGCACCACGACGAGTTTATGATGGTGCAACGTCCAACTCACCCTAGCAAGTACCTCAGCGACTCACTGAACATTGCATGGGCATAAAACTCCCCTCAAGTATACACACTCACACCCCTGTCTCCCCAACCACCTTGCAGTTGGCCTTGTAGTAATCCAGCTCTCCGGTCGTGGCGGAGTGCGAGGGGTTGCCCCCCGCCGCCTTGGCTGCCGCATCCGCTGGCGAGTTCTTGACGGGGGAGTAGGCGGCCCAGACCTGGTTGATGGAGGTGTACCCCACCCTGGCGGTGGAGGGGAGGTCCTTAGGGAAGTCCTGCATCATGCACTCCAGGCGCGTGCTGCTCTTGAAGCTGGTGCGGCCGGCATCGGCGTACTTGGGGTTGACAAACTCCCCGATCACGCCGCCCTTCTTCTGCAGCTCCTCGCAGTACGAGTCCAGGCTCACAATGAGCTGGTTGATGTTGCCTGCGTCGAGTATTTGGGGGAGTAGGGGTGCGCTCAGATAGACTGCACTGACTTGGGTGCTTTGGGATGAATTGGTAAGTTCAGTGTGGAGGCATTCAACAGGCTGAGTCCCTGGGGAAGGGGCGGCATGTTCCCACAGGACAGCCATGATCCTGCAGAGCTTGGGCTGGCACAGCAGCTGCACCTCATGCGTCTGGATGCTGAGCCCCAGTCACCTGGGAAGGGCGAGAACCCGGTGTCATCATTGGTGTCCCCCTCCGGGTCATACGCCGCGCGCAGCAGCGGGTCCAGCTGCGTGTGTGTGAAGGGAGAGGAAACTGAGGTATGTAACCGCTATGGAGTAAAGCACCATATTTCAAGCGTGTTTGGTGATCTGCTGCAACTCCCGACTCCCAGACTCGTATGCACACAGATGCAAATCAACCTCCTTCCCCCCTCTTTCTTCCCCCCAACCCACCTGGTTGTACTCGACGTTGAGGGTCCGGGAGGTGCCGTCTGGGTAGGCCAGCTTGGTGATGGCACCGATGGCCTCCTTGGCGCGGCGCGGCACGGCCAGGGAGTTGAAGTCGAAGGCGCGCGCGGCGCTGACCCCCAGTGCGGCGGGGATGGCGCGGAAGACCAGCGCATTGGTGTCCTGAAAGAAGACCGCCCAGCGCAGGCCGGCGTCGCGCCAGCGCGCCGCCAGGCCAGAGGAGTGCAGCAGCATGTGCACGTCACCGTGGCCGTGCGGCTTGGTCTGCACGGCCCAGGCGTCGCCCGGGGTCAGGGCCAGGCGCGCGTCGTTGTCGGCCAGACAGGCCACCTTCTCCTGCTTCACCAGGGTGACCTGGGCGGGGTCTGCGCCGAAGAAAGCGTGGGAGCGCAGCAGGGCCTCGGTGCGGGCGTGGGTGTCGTCGCTGGTCATGATGGCCAGAGGTAGTTGGCGCCTGTTGCCATTCAGAGCCTTAATTGCGGATGGGAGGGAAGGGAGGGCAAGGGCATTGGCACTTGGGTGCATTGGGAGGTGGGGCATTCATAGAATGGGGGTCCTGGAGGTTTGTGCAGCAGGATGTTCACGCCAAGGCAGACACCACAACCAGCACATCTCTAGGTGGAGACTCTCAAGAACAAGACAGGGGCGCACAGGGACTGCCGAATCGGGAGGCCAACCTTGGCCAAGAAAGTGCTCACCCCTGGCCATGCACATCAATCCGCACACACACACACACACACACACATTCTCACACACCTGGAGGGCAAGGATGCTCTCGATGTACAGCTTCAGGTAGCAGCCCCCCGTGGCGCTCTCGACGGGCAGGGCCAGCTTGATGCCAGAGTAGCCCAGCCGCTCACCGAGGCCCCCGGCCACCAGCACAAAGGCGGTGTCTGCCGCAGCGGCAATCCCTGTCGGGTTGAGGAACGGTGGGGTGGGAATACTGCGAAATACGAGCACATTTAGCTGGTTTCTGCCCGTATCGCAGGGCGAGGAGCCATCCTGCAGCTGCCCAGCACCCGGGAGTGAAGTCTCGAGAAAAAAGATCCATGCTGCCACCCTGCTCTGCAGGCGAGGGCCCACCTGCGTTCTCGAGCTCGATGAAGGCATCGCTGCCGAAATCCAGCTTCTTCCCTTCCGGGACAGAAGGGACGCAGCCCTCAAAGGGGTTGGACCCTGGGAGAAGATAGGGTGTCCGTATATTGTATCAGGCAGTGCTGAGAGGCATTCCCTATTTCCGCATGATTGCCCCGCTATTCTCCCAGGGGAGCATCAAGGTGCATGGGGTTTTCCCAACCCACCCATCTTGGTTTGCAGCATGCACAGGCAACACACCTTCCTTGGAGTCCTTCAACAGCTTCTTGGCATTCGAAATGTACTTCAGGAGGCCACCGGCATAGCTGGAGTCCAGCTGCCGCAGCTGAGAGAGGAGACGGCGCTTGTTGTCGTCGTCCTTGCCAGGCTCCGGCCACCCCGAAAACAGGTGCTCCTGCCCGGCATCCAGCAGGGCGCTCACCAAGACGCGCGTCTATGATCAGGAGTAGCATATAAAATGTACGGAAAGTATACATGATAACGATCGGGATCGTGGGTTTTATTCAAGTTAGCAGAAGGGAAACCCCTGTTATTTCGAAAGCGTACCTCGGCGTCCAGCAGACCCTCATTCGCCTTGAGTATGTCCAGCTTGGAGGCAACTGCAGCAGCCATCGATCTAGAAATGTATTTTGAGATCAATATGGACTAGGGTTGATGGGCCTTGGAATGCCGCATTGTGTTGATTCCGCGCTCTCTGCCGAGACACCTGTGAGTGGCGCGCCCGCATGAGGATCATGCTGATCGGTATCGCCGAGTACAACAGCGGCAAGGGGCAACACTCGCAGAGCGTGTCACTTACAATACCGTATTGAGCAAAAATGACGGTTTCGGGCATGTCGCGGGTTTCCATGGTGACGGCAGAGGCGAAAATGCACGCAGGGCGTTGCTTCTCCAGCACTCCCCCTCGCCCAGCCCACAGGGCTTCGCCATGCACGCAGCGGTACGTGCACGAGGATATCGAATCTTTTTCAAGCTGCTACTCTCGTTGCATGGATGCATCCTCGCTGCGTGCGCAGTGCCTTCCCGGCTGCGCCATCATTGCCAGGGTACACGAGTCCTAGCCAGACCCCATATCCCCACACCCTCCCTCAGGGGTCCCGCCCGCCCGTCCAAGCACCAGCGCCCGAGGTCCTTCTCCGTCAACGGCACCTCCAAGCTGTCTGAGAGGGAGACCGCGGGCAGCACCAAGGACGCCAGCCCCTTCACCGTGGGCCGCCTCTTCACGCTCACCACCTGGCTGCTGGAGCAGGAGAAGCGGGAGGTGATCGACTCGGAGGTGGCCATCGTCATCTCCTCCATCGCCCTGGCCTGCAAGCAGATCGCGTCCCTGGTCAACCGGGCGGGGATCAGCAACCTGACGGGGCTGGCTGGCGCTGCCAATCAGTCTGGGGAGGATCAGAAGAAGCTGGATGTCGTGGCCAACGATGTTTTTGCAAACTGCCTGAGATCCACGTGAGTCGGGAACTTCTGATGAGTAATGGGCCTGGGGTGCAAGGCTCTCGGCGCCCTTGATGGTTCAGGACGGGTGTCTACCTCCAGCTGGGGGGCCGTGCCTCCAGAGGCAGGGCGCCCCCTTGCGTGGCCCCATCCTCATGCCAGCGCATGAATACCCACGCATGTGTCCAGGGGCCGCATCGGAACGCTGGCATCTGAGGAGGAGGATGTGCCGGTGTCAGTGGAGGGCTCCTACTCCGGGGACTACATCGTGGTGTTTGATCCTCTGGACGGCTCATCCAACATCGACGCCGGTGGGTCGGTGAGGCGTGTCTCTGCACCGGCTGGAGCAGCCGGCTCAAGCATGTGAACCTTTGCGACTGTGCATCCTCCATCCATGGGACACCGCGCCCAGCCCCCTCGCCCCTGCTCCTTCCAAACCCCCCAGGGATTTCTGTGGGGTCCATCTTTGGCGTTTACGACCCCAGCGAGGAGTGTCGGGTGGACGAGCTTGACGACGCCGGTGGGTGACGCGTGCTGAGTGCACCGGCTGATGAGAGTGTGCGCTCGGTCTGGGTCCAGGCACTCGAATCCATGTGCTGCACCTCATGCTCATGCAAGCGAGGTGCCGGACCCACGCATCCACCCGTCCCCATGCTTTCAGAGGAGGTGCTGAACAAGTGCGTGCTGAATGTGTGCAAGGCGGGCTCCGAGCTCCTGGTGGCTGGCTACTGCCTCTACTCCTCCAGCACCGTCCTGGTCCTCACAGTGGGTGAGCGGCATGGTGTGGATGGACGGACATGCATGTTGCGCGGAAGCTCTGTGGCCTTCCGGGGCATGGGCACTCGGGCACAGCACAGCGCAGGCAGCCTGCATCAATGTGCACGTAATGCAACGACAGCCCCCCTCCCCCCTCCCATTATGTAGGCGACGGCGTGGTGGGCTTCACCTTTGACGCCCTGGTGGGCGAGTTCATCCTCTCCCACCCTGACATCAAGGTCCCAGACAAAGGCAAGATCTACGCTTTCAACGAGGGCAACTACGGGGTGAGTTGCCGGAACGATGGGCTGGCCATGGGAGGGCAGCGGTGGCTCGCATGGGACTTTTATTGAGGTGTTCCCTGCCCCATTCAAGGTCTGCAATGCCCGCAGGTGCCCTGCCCAGCACCCCATCATGCACACTGGCTCGTAACTCCCCCCGCCCCCCCCCTTTCCCTCTGCACAGCGCTGGGAGCAAGGCGTGAAGGACTACATCGACTCGCTCAAGGACGAGAGCAAGTGGGGCGGGACGCCTTACTCCGCTCGCTACATCGGCTCCCTGGTGGGCGACTTCCACCGAACCCTGCTCTACGGTGAGGTTTGGCTGTGGCTAGGAGACCTGGAAGCGAGGAAGGCAGCCGGGTGGTCATGCATGTGAGGGCTCGGTGCTGCAGGATGGTGCTGTGTGAAACCTGTGCATCTAGAACGGGCAGTGGAATCTGCGCGGTGGTCACTCTTGCATCCGTGGGTCCCTGGACCCCGCCGTGGCACCCGTCAGTTTACCCATACCGCACCTCAACAGGGGGCATCTACGGCTACCCCGCCGACACAAAGAACAAGACGGGGAAGCTGCGGCTCCTGTACGAGTGCGCGCCCATGAGCTACCTCGCCGAGCAGGTGACTTGGAGGGTGGTAAGATGCTGTATCACCGATCCCTGCACGGTGGCTGAGAGCCTCGATACCCAGGGGTACTGCCGGCCGCCTCCGTAGATCCACAGTCGGCATGGCCTACACTTTCGCCGTCTCATCAGCATCCCAGTTTGCCAATGTTTGCTTCCCTTCCACCCTCCACCCTCTGCAGGCTGGCGGCCTGGGCTCAACTGGCACCCAGCGTGTACTGGATCTGGTGCCCGAAAAGATCCACCAACGCGTGCCTCTCTTCTGCGGGTCCAAGTCGGAGGTGGAGTACCTGGAGTCCTTCTTCAAGTGATTCCCAGCCCTCACAGTCCATTCTTTCCAGTCACTGTTGCAACTGAGCCGAGAGGTGCCAGTGGAGAGGCCGAGCAGGGAGGGTGGGTGAAGTGAGCGGCGCATGGCTGGTCGCAAGGGGAGGCGCTGCCAAGAAATCAAGGACTCTGTTGGCCAGTCAGGATGGCATGCACCTTGGGGGCCCCTGGCCCCAACGGTGCATGCCTGGCCCAAGTTCCAGCCTGCTAGGCATCCTGGTTGGGCTGGCGCAGCACAAACACCCGGTCCGTCTCCTCCAGGATCGCGCTGGCTGCGGGGTTAGTCACCACGTAGGGCAGGCGGCTGCTGGGGGTCTCCGACTGAGCCAGGGAGGGCGTGGATGAGCGGGGTGTGGGGCGCCGTGCCCACAGCGCGACAATCAACCACACAAGTACGTAATGCCCTTTTGCGAAGCAGAGGCGCTTGGCGCCTGCCCCTTCCCGGCAAACACTGGCTCACCTTTTCACGGAGGAGGCCGAGGCAGATGAGGCCCTGCTCGGCGAGGAGGTTGTGGAACAGGACCCCGTACGGCTTCCCACGGTGCTCGGGCGGCACCGGTATCTGCAGCAGCGCCGCGCCGCCCGTGCCCCCCGAGGGGCCATCTCCCGCCAGCTCCGCCAGGGTCTCACGCGGCAGGCCCCTGCGTGGGGCGGGGCAGAGATTCTCATGGCGCATGTTGAACAGGGCAAGCATGTACACAGGGGCATAGGGTGGATTCCAAGTCTCAGTGTGCAAGAAGTGCCCCCCCCCCTTCACCCCCCACGCAAAGTATCCACCTGTTGACAAAGTTGGAGCAGAGGAAGGCGTCCATCAGGGCGGGCACGGTCACGCGCCCGGCGCAGTAGTAGGGATTGGCCTGCCACTCGGTGAGCCCCGCCGCGACCGAAGCGGCCTGCTGGGAGGCGCGCAGCGCCCAGGAGCGGCGTGGCACACCCCGCACGTCACGTGACCCCACGTCCCCAAAGTCCACGCCGCGGAGCAGCAGGCCGGGCTGGAGGAACCTGGGGCATGGGTCCAGGGTGGGAGGGAGGGGGGGAAATGGAAATGGAGGGTGACCAGCCAACGGGAGGGGGAAGGGAATGAATTAGGGCAGAGCAGGACAAGGCGTGGGAAGGGTGCATGCCAGCCTGTCGGTCAGTCCTGCCTCCAGGCAGAGACTATGCAGCCCCTCCTTTCCGGCCGACACCCACTCTATCGAGGTGGTGAAGAGGAGCTCCACCACGGTGTGCGTGAGCCGTGCCCCGCTTTCCTCCCCGACCCCGTAGCACGCCAGCAGCGCATCGGCGTCCTCCAGCACCGCCTCGCGTGTTGACCTCACCAGCGCTGGGCTCGAACCTGCGGTCGACCGATGGGGTGAGATTGAGGAGGCAGAACACGGCTGTGACAGCAGGCTTGGTAATCTGGGAGATTGGGCCTTTGCAGGAAGCAGAGGCAAGGGGGAGACTTGTGCTGGACGCACCGCATCGCATTGCACTGCCCCGCCTCGATGCTCTGAACCTAGGGCACGCTGCACCATGCTTCCACCTTGCCCGCCCGGCGTCGGCCTGCCGCCATTGGTTTCAGATCGCCGCATCCCCACGCCTCCCGCCCGAAACGCCCCTATCCACCCTCAGAGCGCTCCGTCGGGGGTCCCCCTCCCCTCTACACACCCGCAACGCACCTGTGGCCTGCGCGGACCTGACGGGGCGCGTGTCCTTGGCCAGGTAGACCAGCGCTCGCGCGCGGCCGGCCCCCGCGGCGGACAGCGCCCAGGGCTCCGCGGCCGAGCCCTGCACCCACTGCACGGGGCCGGCCTCCTCCACGCCGCCCTCACACAGCTCCAGGGGGCGGGTGGGGTGCAGCACGACGATGGGCGTGTGGGGGTCGCTGCAGGCGCGGCGCAGGTAGCGCACGAAGGGGCAGAAGGACGGCTCCGACCCCGCCAGGATGATGTGCTCGGTGAGCGCGGTGCGCTTCACCGCCTCCACCACGCTGCAGCCCTCGGGGCTGCTGCACTCGTTCCCAGAGGGGGCTGGGGAGGGGTCGGGGGGCGCCGGGGCGCCGCTTGGGGCTGCATGCGCAGCTGCCTCGCCCGGGGAGGCCGCTGGCGCCTGCCGAGGCTTCGCCGCGCCCATCGCCCCTCGGCCCCTGGGGGAGGGGCGACCAAAGTAGGGTCTCTGCAGCGCCTCGCACACCTCCACCTCGCTCTGTCCGATTACCAGCACCTGGCAGCCGCGGGGAAGCTGAGCGCAGCCGGGGTTCAGCCGCAGGCGGGGCCACTTGCCCTCTTCCACGATGCCTGGGGTAACGGGAAAGGGTTGGGCGTGGGAGATTATGCTCACTTCTGGGGGCGCTTGGGTAGGTGAGGAGTGCCAGTCACGTATCCGTGGCGCACGCAGGCGCATGGCCTGGGATCCTGAGTTGCAGGCGGCAGGGAGCAAACTGATGCCTCACGAGTCTGCCCCTCTGCACCACCGCCTTTCCTCATGCCCAGCCACGCCACCCTCTGAACCCACCGATGAGGACGAGGCCGGAGGTGGTGAAGAGCCAGCTCGCCACGTCACGGAAGGCACGGCCCGCCAGATGCTCCGGCAGCAGGGCCTCGCAGAACTGGTCGGCGCAGCCGTCGATGTAGCTGCGCAGCCACCTGGCGTGTGTCGGGCCGAGGGGCATACGATGACAAATGGCACCCTCGCAAATGCAAAGGTAACATTGGCAGCTCCACCCCTTCAATACCATGCATTGCCAAACGCTCGGTGACCTTCCCCCCCATATGTATAGAGCATACACACGACAAATCTCCCCTTTCAATGGCCAGGACTGGATCCTACCTGCGCGGCGCGGGCTTGTTCTCCAACACTGACAGCGGCTGGACGTCTGAGCTCCGCAGGAGATTGCCTACAAGGGATGGGAAGATCGGAGCGCATTCCTGGGTTCAGAGGCATTGGGAGACGTCGATGCCCAGATCTGAGCACTCCTGGTCACAGGCACTCGCAGAAATCATCCTTGCATTGCTTCCCTCCATCCTATTCAATTCCCTCCCTCCACAAACCCAGGAGCGTCGTGGCCCCGGGGCAGACGGCGGAGAGGGCAAGCAGTCTGTACCGCGTCTGCTCCAGGGACACCACGATGTCTTGACTGGGGTCCAGAAAGGGCCGGATCTGGGTCACTGTGCTCTGGCGCAACGTCTGCACATACAGTGGCACATTCGAGGTGTACCCCTTGCAGGCCCAGACCTGCGATGTGGAGTAGGCTGTCAGGGGTGATGCTGGAAGTTTGAGGCCCAATCATAGTATTCATCAGAGCGAGTGGCTGGTGAATCTGTTGGGCAAGGCTCAGTGGACGCTCAGCACTATCTGCTGGGCCATAGCGCCTGAAATTTCTTCAGGGTATTTCTCAATCTCACAGGACGCCTGCGAGTGCTACCTTTTCTCCACAGTACATATTCACCCTGAACCCCATCCCCTGCTGCACCTGGAACAGGATGCTCAGGTCTTCCTGGTGAGCATCTGTGGTGAATCGATCTGCCAGGAGGAGGATGGCACGCGCCTTCTCGGCATGGGCAGTCACCAGGTCCTCGGAAGAGATGGCCGATCCCTCCAGCAGCGTGACTGAGCGTTCATGTAGCTCCTGCATTGTTAATGTTCGCATGTGTGCAAAGGTGAGCCGAAATGGTGGGGACGTGGATGGAGGGCCACTACCTGCACATGCATGCTCCTTGCCATCTCCTCATGCATGCACGCAGACTCTCCCCGGAGTACAACCTGGAAGGCAGTAAATTCATAGGTAGGTCGATTGCAGAGGACCACCATTCTCGTGGACAGGGGGAGCACGCTCTCCTCCATCGCCGCCTGGAACTCGGCAAAGAGGTCGGAGAAGGCACGGATCTCGCTGAGCCGGGTGGACAACAGGACGAAGGGCGTCGCGGCATCTTTGGGCACCGTCCCTGGACAAGAGATGGTCGAGGGAAACGGACTGGGCGGTTGCTGCAACAGCGTTTGGCATCCCACACTGCCTCCTCAAAGTGGGTTGCCACCTCTTCAATCATCTCAGCGAGCCAATGCTGCTAGGTGACTCCAAGGTGCCATTACTCATGCGACACACAGTCAGGAGCCCTCGCTGTCCAAGCCCTAGGCATCTAACCGGCGCCCTTGCCTGCTCCCCCCCCCCTCCCCCCCCAAAGCAACCCCTCACCCACACAAGAACACACCCTGGACCATCCTGCGCGAGGCCAGCTCGCTGTACAGCTGCGCGGCCTGGACTGGGATCAGCACCACGCCCACGCAGATCATGACCAGGATGACGAGGCGGCCAAGGATGGTGTAGGCCACAATGTCTGCGGGCCAAGAGGGATGGGTGGGTTGAGAGGTCCCACCGGGAGGAGCACAGCATGTAGATGTCAGTCAAGTGGTGCAACTTGACCAGCAGCGCAAGGGTGGTTGCCACGCCTGCACTCTACCAATGTCCCTTGTGTGAAGCAGGCTTGGCCCTGATGCAGCCAGGGCGGTAGCATGTTCAACGGCGCTCTGTTTGCATCTACTGCACGGCTCTGATAGGCCCCTTGCTGACACGCGCACGCACCTCCAAACCCGACGGTGGTGAGGGTAGTCAGGACCAGGTACAGCGCTTGATCAAAGGGGATTCGTTCCACCAGCTGGATCTGTGAGTCAGAGGAAGCAGGCCGGAGGGGAGGTGTCCCAAAAAATGCTTGTTACTTGGAGGCTGTAGTCTTGCCTTACAGGCCGCTTTCCTCCCAATACCTCAACCCCCGGGTCCCTCCTCTGGTCCACCCACCACAGAGCTCGTGGTGAAGAGCAGGATGAAAATGGAGGCGATGAGCTGGAACAGCCGAAAGTTTGCGCCTGCGGCCAGCCACGCCCCGCGCTTGGTGGAGAGATGGAGGGAGGAGAGCTCCGATGCCAGCAGCCCAATCCTCATCACTCGCATGGACCTGAGGCGGATTGGTGAGGGGAGTAGATGTTTGAACAGCGGTGGCAAGGGGGGATTGAATTCATCACTCGATGCATGCAAGGCACTGGAGAAATGCCGGTCCCTGCATGGAGGCACGTGGAAGGAGAGCCTGGTGGCAGCGCACCAGGCCCATCCCCTGGGGCCCCACCCCTCCAAGGCGCAGACCTGAGGACCTTGAGGGCGCGCAGGTCCAGCCAGCCCAGCGAAAAGCCGGTGAAGGGCTGTAGCACCGCCTCCAGGAGTGGTGGCAGGAAGGCCGCGGCATCGCACAGGTTCCACCAGGAAGTGGCCATTCGCAGGCGGGAGGCGAGGCTGGTGTGCAGGACCTGTGGAATGGGGGTCAGTGAGTTGAGGCTGAGTCATATGAAATGAGGAAGAGACTGATGAGGGGGCAGTGCCAGCACCACGGCACTGGAGGGCGGGGTCAGGCTTTGCGGCTGGGGCCTGGATGCCGCGGTATGCTCAATACCTGGCTCCGCATGCACCCCCTCAATCTTGCCGTCAGTAACCCCCCGGCCCCCCTGTCACCCACCAGCAGCCGGTGCAGGTACTCCACGGCAAAGATGGCGCACAGTAGTATATCCATGCGGGCGCGCAGGGAGTGTGGAACTGGCGGCGAATATGTGCTCCAGACGTACAGCACCACAAACAGGAGGGAGGCGGCAACCTGGAGGTATTGCAGTCCCAGGGCCACGGTACTTTGACGGAGGGCGAGCTTCAGCATGGAAGTCAATTGGTTGACCTGTGTAAGGGTGAGCCAGGGGGGTGAGGACGATGCTGGTGAAGCTGAGACTGTGGCAGAGGTGGTGGTGGCCGAGGCATCTTTCCAGCATGTATCCTACACCACCCGCTCCCTGTGAAGCGATGTGCCTGACCAGATGCGACTTCGAGCAGACACAAGCACACTGCCTGCATAACCTCATGATCAATCAGTGTACCAAATTCGTAAATCACACCCCAGTGCCCACCTGCTCGAGGCTCTTGCCCTCCCTCCCACGCGTGATGGCCATGGAGACAACCCCTTGGCATTGGGGGCCATCCAACATGCCAGGCAGCAAGCCTGGCTGCGGTTTCTTGAAGAGGGCTTGACCATGGGAAATTGAGGTAGATGCATTCTTCCTGGATCTCGCCCCTGTGAGGGTTCTGCCTCGCAGGCCGAGACCATGGCTAGGCTTGCCACCTCCACATGGCCGGGGAATCACCCACGAGCCCAGTGCCGCCATTGGATTCTATTCAGAAGCTATGCATCAGGAATGTATTTCGTGTCCTTCTGTGACGATTGGCATAGAGGACCCCATCAATTCAACGCGACAGAGGTCCTCCCACACGAATCAAGTGCTCCTCCACCAGCAAGCCATCCCGGGGCGTGAGAGGGCAGTCGAAGCGCAAGGCCTTGGGAGAATGGTGATGTGGATGGCAGTATGATTGACCCGGGGTGGTCGACCGATGCAAACAGCGCCAGCATTGAGGTGCAATGCCCATCAAAACGCTAGGGCGCGAGGTCCACCGAGATCACTTCGTCGTCGCCAGCATGGACACCAGGCCATGCACCCTGAGGCTGCCAGGGAGTACCCACAACAACAAATTCCTACAGAATTTTCAGGAGGCTGATTTTCTATCATGAGTTGAGCTCCATAGCACCTCGCCTCCGCCGACGATGCCGTTCGGCCAGGTGGTGGTGGGCCCCCCCGGGTCAGGCAAGTCCACGTACTGCGCGGCCTTGGCCCGGCACCTGGCATCCAGCGGGAGGAGTGTTGCGGTGGTGAATCTGGACCCAGCGAACGACGCCCTGGTGTACGAGGCCGCCCTGGATGTGTCGGAGCTGGTGGGCCTGGAGGCGGTGCAGGAGGAGACGGGGCTGGGCCCTAACGGGGGCCTCATCTGGGCGATGGAGTATCTGGAAACCAACATCGACTGGCTCCTGGATCGGCTAAGACCCCTGACTCAGGGTGAGGAGGGGTGCATGGACTCGTATGGGCCGCCGCCGCAGTGCACCTCTCTGGAGGGGTCGCGGGGATGTGCTGGAGCAGTGCCGCTGGAATGCTCCAGGACCCGTTTTGCATGTGTTTGGGGACACCTGACGGTGACTTCCCACATCTAGCCCTCGCACTCCTCTCCCACAGCGGGCCACTACATCATCCTGGACTGCCCCGGGCAGGTGGAGCTCTTCCAGCTGCACGCCGGCTTCAAGCGCATCCTGGGCACGCTGGAGCGCCAGCTCAGCATGCGCCTGGTGGCTGTCCAGCTCATCGACGCCCACCTGTGCGCCGATGCGGGCAAGTACATGGCCGCCCTCCTGCTGGCCCTGTCCACCATGCTGCACCTGGAGCTCCCCCAGGTCAACGCCTTCTCCAAGTATGACCTGCTGGACCGGCACGGCGACCTGGCCATGAGCCAGGAGTTTTACCTGGAGGCCCACGGGCTGGAGCACCTGGTGGAAAGCATGAGCGTTGGCTTTCCCCCTGCGTTCCAGGATCTGAGCCGGGGGCTGTGCGAGGTGTGTGAGTGGAGGGGATGGGGTTGGGGGCATCATGTGGCATGAGCCCCTGATGGCACGCTGCGGACGAAAGGGACACCTCCGCGCAGAGAGTATTGCATGAGCAGCCACGAGGGAAACTTCGCTGTGTGCCCCTCTCTTTCCTCAGGTGGTGGAGGACTTTGGTCTCCTTAGCTTCCTCCCCTTGGAAGTGGAGAGTGCAGAGAGCATGAAGCGCCTGGTCGCCGTGGCAGACAAAGCTAATGGCTACTACCACATCCCGCCCACCATGGCCTGAATTAGAGCCCACTTTGGGAACTGGGTGGAGGCATTAGCCTGGCAGCCTCAACGCATGCCCAGCTACCACCTCCCATTTGGGTTGGCGTGAGAACGTGGCCTTCAGATGCCTAAACATCTTCATTGCTAGTAATGATTAAAGGTTTACGAATGTATGGCTCCCCTGTTCTGCAAGGCATGGGACCAAAAGGCTGAAGGCGCGCACCGCCTGGTCACACAACTCGGTATTCAAACAGGTGCATCGCGAATGGGATCCCAGCCGGTCACAAAGTCCGCCTCCAGTCCATCCAGCGTCGCCATGTCATCATCAGGAATGGTGATGGAGAATACATTCAGGTTGACCTCCTGCCGCGCAGGCACAGTGGACTTTGGCAGTGACACAAACCCCTTTTGTATGCCCCACCTGGACAGGGGGTTGGAATGGTTGAGGGGGAGGGTTGGTCCTGGTAGAGTGTGCAGCAGGCAAGCCCAACGCTGTATGGCCCACAGATGATGCACAGCTATCGTTGGATGTTATTTGCCCATTTCAATTCTGTGTGTTGCGAGCCTCAACAATACTCCAAAACAGGCCCCACCCGTGACTCTCAGGCCTGTGCAAGCTCCAAGAAGAATCTGTCTCACCGTATCAGGAGCTGGGCTGGCGTCACATTGAGCTTCTGGGCGAGCTGCTTCACGGTTGGGTCATCCAGCTTCTGGCCCTTTGCCAGCGGTGAGTATGCCTGCATGAGGGGGATTGATGATGTGTTGCGAGTGCGCGTGGGTGCACTGACGTGTAGGCACTGAAATCCCAGCGAGAAGCAAGGTGCTGACATGTCTGTCCTCCTATATGACAGAAAAGTGAGCCTGGGAGCCGATGAGACGTAGAGAAGGGCAGTGCGGGAAGCGTACAAACTCTCCCATGAACAGGCAAAAGGACCCCTTGCTGTCTCCACTTCAAACCTTCCACGTTCCCAAGACCCCACACCTCCACAATGATGTCCTTGGACTGGCAGTACTGCACGAGCCTCGGCCACTGCAGAAATGGGTGCAGCTCGATCTGGTTGACGGCGGGGGTGACCTGCGCCGTCTGTGCCAGCTTCTCCAGATGGACCACGCCAAAGTTGGACACGCCGATCGACCTTAGCTTCCCCTGCAGAATGGGAGTTTGGGACGTGATGTGGCAGTTCATAGGAGCTGCTCACCAATCAATGTGCCCAGAAGGGGGCTCTTTCACCCTGCACGCAGTTTGTCCTGAACGCCCCACACCTGGCGATGGTAGCTCTCAAGCACTGCCCAAGTCTCGGCTCGGGTGTCAAGACTACCAGGGGCATGAAGGAGGAAGAGATCGATGTAGTCCAGTCCAAGTTTCTGCAGCAGATGGATGCGAGGAGGGGGGCGGATGGTTGAGGCTGGTTCTATACCATCACATGCTCCATCAAAAAAGAATGCCATTCTCCAAATCTACTTGATAAAGGCTTGATACCAGGGCATTTCTGATCTGTGCTGCTCTCAAAAGGCGACAAGGATCCAGCTTGGATTGCCATGTCCCTTTCCCACTCCTGAAATCCACCCCACCTTCAGGCTCTCGTCAATCGCAGCCTGCGCCCGACTCTTTCCCCAGTTCCTTATGCTAAGCTTGCTGGTGACAAAGATGTCTTTTCGTGGAATGCCGGAATCCCGGACGGCCCTGCCGAGCAGTGAGAGCACGAATGCTGAAGAGGGTGAGGTGTCCTATTGAGAAACCAGCCTTCAAGGGGGGGCCCACGCAGGTTCAGTCACTTCCCAAGGTCCCAGACGAGGGACCCACCTTCCAACATCACTCTCGTTGCCGTAGACCTGGGCGGTGTCGATGTGCCTGTACCCCAGTCGCAGCGCGGAGAGGACAGCCTCGTAAGCCTGGGCTCCTGGTTCGCAGAGGTAGACCCCCAGTCCGACCACCGGGATGGTGTGTCCTGCGAGAATCGAGAGTACTCTGGCTCGATCATTTCCACATTTACCATTCATTCAACCACTGAATTCCCTTCCCTAGATCCCTCGCACCGGAGTTCAGCTTGAGCACCGCATGGGCGGGGTCCAGGACCTCCGTATCGACGTCGCCCTCGCCTAGCACGTGCACGTCCATGCACCCCAGCTGCTGTGCAGAACTGACCCAGGCTGCTGTAATGCGCTGGTATGCAGCCTCTAGAAGGCCCGTGCTTGCAGAGGAGGGTTGAGGTGTGTTCTGGGGCTCGACACCCATCCAGCGGGTGGCGAGGTGGTGCCTGACCTTCCGGTGTTGCACAGAAAACTTTCCGAAACACCCTGCCACAGTGCCCAGCACCGCGTAATGAGAATAGATTGTAGTGTCGGATCATCAGCAGTCTGTTGTCCCCGCCGCGGTGTCTAGTTGTATGTATTACGGGCTGGGCCCCGTGCAAGTATATTTGGGCGCGATCTCCCCAAGCTGTAAAGTTGCCGCCTCAAACCAGGGCATCCTCGTTCGGACCACGCATGGCTGATTAATCGCCATTGCTCATGAGTCGGCTTCGATCTGTCACCACGACTCTGGTGCAGACACTGAGCCGGCTCGGGGGATCGACGCCGACCCCACACTCCAACCTGTCGCGCATGAGAGGCTGCCGCACATTCATGGAGGTGAGCTCGGGATTCCTGCGGTCACCTAATGATATGCATTTTGGATTATGGCAGGAGATGTGATGTGTTCACCTGCCCTACCCTCCACCCCGGCAGGACCAATCTTTCACGGGCAACCCCCTGGTCCGGGGCCTGCGCCGGGGGGCCACCCTGGAGACCGCCCTGCGCAGCCCCGGGGCCCGGTTCCTGCCCGTCTCCGAGCGCAGGGTGGGCGTGGACCCCGACGGGGGCCTGGCCTGGCTGACGCCAGGGAGCCTGGCCGGCGCGGGCCTGCGGCTGGACCCGGGCGCGGAGCACCTGGCCGCGCAGGGTGACATCGAGCTCCCGCTCTACACCCTGGGCCTGGACCGCGAGGCCTGGCACTTTGCGGTGGATGTCTCGAGCCTGGGACCTGAAGCCCCCGCCCTGCCCCGCCTGGCTGAGGTGCGCAGCCTCATGCCCCTCCTGCCCACCGACCAGCTGGCGATCGCGGGGCAGGCGGTGGCGCTGGCGCAGTGGCACGCCGCCCACGCGTTTTGTCCCCGGTGCGGGGCCCCCACGCGATCGGCAGAGGGCGGCGCGCGGCGCCAGTGCCAGGGCGACGCGGCGCACCGCCTCTACCCGCGCACCGACCCGGTGGTCATCATGCTGGTGGAAAGCGCGGACGGCAGTGCGGCGCTGGTGGGGCGACCCCTCAACTACCGCGCAGGCAATATGCTGACCTGCCTGAGCGGGTTTGTGGACCAGGTAAATGGGGGGTTGGGGGGGGGGGGGGTGGAGGGGGAATGGTGCTTGGATGCTCTGGGGTGTGCAGAGGAGATTCTGGCGCGCCTCGACCCAGCCTGCCCTCGAAACGGGCAGCGTCTCCCTACATTGCCCTTCGTCTGCGAAAACACACAGGGCGAGTCCATCGAGGAGGCCGTTTTGCGCGAGGTGGCTGAGGAAGCCGGGCTGAAGCTGGCGAGGGTGGAGATCCTGGGATCCCAGCCTTGGCCCATAGGTGTCTTGTTGGGAAAGGGTGCGGCATACCTACTTGTCATGTAGCAGTACGCGAGACGGTTGTGTGTGTGTGTGGCTGTCTGCATGCATCTCGCACCCAGTGTCTCCTACCAAGACACTCCTTCCCTCCACCTTTCCCAGGTCGAGGCGGGTCCTGCGAGCTCATGATCGGGTGCGTCGCAAAAGCCACCAGCAACGACATCGACATGGACGCAGCTGAGATGGCTATCGTGCAGTGGTTGCCGCGGGAAGGTGAGGCACTGAATAGATGGCTGGGAGGGTGGCATGCAGCTCCCCGCAAGTGCCATGGGCGAGATTCCGCCGGCACCCTTGCGGTGCCAGCGATGCGGCATCCTTCCACTGCTTTCATCTCAACCTATGGGCAGAGGGCCGCCCCTCACAGCCATCCCATGCCCCCACCACCCTCTTCTCGCAGACGTGCGCAAGGCTCTCAAAAACAGCGGCAGCGCCGCCAGCCCCCTGAATGGCGGCAATGGGGCCGGCATGCCCTTCTTCCTGCCGCCACCCTATGCCATAGCCCACCACCTGCTCAAGAGCTGGGCAGAGAGGGATGGGTCCTGGTTTGCAGAGGCCCAGACCCCAGCGCTCGCCCGCATCTGAGGCAGCGCGCCCGTGGCAGCAATTGCTGGGCTTTGGAGGCTGAGAGGAGGGGTTGTCCTGTTTGCTCCTCGTCGCCAACCACCAGCCGGGCTTCACGCATACCACCCCCCCAACGTAGTTTTTCGCTTCATGCTGCCCATGGTCACACCAGCGCTCCAACTCGTCTAGCAGTGCCAGCAGCACGCTGACAATAATTGGAATCTGTACACAACCTGCCGCAGGTTAAAGTTCCAAACGAAAGTCCTTCTGCTAAGTACATGTAATATCATGAGACTGACCATTAGGGAAAATGGGGAGGAGTACGGAAGCATGCTAAAATAATCAACCCTTGCAGTGCCTTTGCGAATCAATCTTTCTGAAGCCACACTCTGTCCCGAATTTGTTGCGGGCTGGATCCGTGAAACTCGTCCACCTTCCGGCCACGCCGGAAAATGGAGAGGGTCGGGGTGAAGGTCACATGTGAGGCTGCAGACTGCATGTAATCCACCTGAGCCACGGCAAACTCCATCTCCTGGCTCTGTGCACGGTGCGTGTCATGGTTGTGGATGCGTGTGAGAGAATGAGCTTTGAACAGTTGGTCTGGCCACCTTCACCGATGAGGGAACAATGGAGGGGTGTAATAGCACACAATCCTGCCACCCGGGCTGCAGAAACTGGCCTCTCACACACCTCGCCGGCCAGGCGCAGAAAGTTTGGGAACAGCGCCTGACAGTGGGTGCACCAGCTGGATCCAAAATTTACCACAGCCTGTCAGGGGATGGTGGGGAGGGCCGCCCATTCGTCACTTTACACTGTAACATTCACCACACCTTTGTCATGTCTGTACCACACACAAAAATCTCACAATTTTGCTCTTGTTCACGTTGAGGAAGGTCTCCATGTCCTCATCGGTGCGCAGGCCCGTCATATTGGAAGTGATCATGGTCAGGCCTCCACTCTGGCTCGCCTCGGGATGCATTGCCTGCGCAGCGTCTCAATACGCACGACATCTAGATACTGCCAAAGCAGGGTAAACGAATATGCACCCAACAGTATACGCTGTATGCAACCCCTGAACTCACAGGGGACTTCCCAGCCACCGGCGGCATCTCCTTCACCGAGGAACACTCCCCTCTTTATTTAGGACAAATAAAACATATGAAGTTTCTATAGATATTGATAGTGATAAACGATCAATAGGACGCCCTTTTCGTTCTCTAGATGTGTCCTCCCATCGTTTCGATGAGGTCAGGTCTCGCGCGCTGTTTCTCGCAACGTCAACCCCAAACCTCGAATTCCTCGCCATGCCTACAGCAGGACAGGGACACACCTGCACACCAGGATGGAAGCAAGCTGCGCCGAAAGGAAGACAAGGGTTGGTGCACAGTCCCATGCAAGGCAGAGCGGGACAGCCAGGGCGAGTGGCAGAGGCGCGAGGGGCGACGGGGCCCTCAGCGTCCAGAGGCACCCGCACGTCATCAGGATCAGCAGCGGGGCATTCAGCAGGAGCAGGGCAGGCCCGAAGACGAGGCACAGACCGGCGGTGAGTTTCGGCAGCGGGATGGGGCCGGGTGGGGCACCGGCGGCTTCACCCGCGGCCAGCACCCAGGCGGCGGCAGCGACAGCCAGAACGCCCGCCTCACCGATGCGTTCGGCGGAGAGCCGTGGCAAGCACAGCGCGCCAGCCGCCCCGAGGTGGCACGCCAGGTGGACGCTGAGGGCGTGCCTCAGGGACAGGGCTGCAAGGCTGGGCAATCCAACGACCGTGTGGGAACTGGGATTGGGATCCGCATCCTCGGAATGCCCTAGCTCAAGAGCGAGTGCAACAAGGCAGGCGATTCCTGCGGCGAGAAGTGCAGCTCCGTCCACAACGTGGCGCCCGCCCGCCGGCCAGTACATGGAGCTGGCGTGGTGCAGGCGCTCCTCTAGGTTGCTCAGTGCGCGCAGGCTGCCTTCCATGCTGCGCAGCGCCTGGCGCATGGCGCCCCGGTCCGAGGGCTCGGGCAGTGGCCAGTCCAGGGTCGCGGCGTCCGTGCCCGCCTCTAGGAAGACGGCGTGCAGGCCGTCTCCCGCCCCCGCCGCCGTGGCGAGGAAGGAGCGCAGGGTGGGTTCCAGGACTGCCCACGTGAAGATCCCGGCCCGGTCGAAGCGGGCGGGGCCGGGGGTAAGCTCGGCGACCCTCGACAGCGTCGCGGCGAGGTCAGCATTGGGCAGGCGCCCAGACCTGCCGTGGAGCCGCATGCCCAGCACGGCAGGCGTCGAATCCTGGACCGAGGCCAGGGAGAAGACCGCGGCGCCGTGCAGGCTCGTGGGCGGGGGAAATGCCAACTGCGAGGCCGGGCCATGGGGTGGGCGACTGTGGGCCGCCAGGAGCGCCTATTTGGGTTGGTTGAATGGAGCAGGAGGGGAGTGTTTGTGTGGCTGGTTGGGTGGGCAATAACTTGGTCCTGGGGCATGCGGATGGACTCCCGTCCCCACATAACCCTGCCCTGCCGCCTTACCTCGAGTGCCTGCCGGGCTCGCACCACGTCCCTGCCATCGACCAGCGCCACGCCCAGACCCTTCGCCAGCCAGTCTGCGTCCAAAAAGTGCTCGGTCAGCACGGCAAGGAGCCCCGCCGCAGCCGCGGCCGAGGAGCAATCATGGTACTCGAGGACCAGAGCCATGCCTTCAGCCCCCCAGTCCCGCTTTGGCGGCACCATCGTGTGCATGAGCACACCCTGGACCATCAGCAGACCGGGGGGTTGTCTGTTTATTGTATCCTCCCAGGCCGCAGCAAGGGCAGGCACGCCGCAGTTCGTGAGATTACCCCGGGTCGGGCCATGCCGCACGACACGCTGAACCTGCAGGGCTCGAACGACCTCCGCCTCCCTGAGGGTGTAGGCCAGGTCGAAGGGCGCCGGTGGTCAGGAGACCGGGCTCATGGGCGTAGTCATGCGCATGGGTGGAGCACGTGCGCCCACCCACGCAGCGACCCACCTGATGCCAGAGGCCGCTCCTCCCACCAGCAGGGCCCTCTCATCCAGCCGCAGGGGCTCCGCCAACAGAGCGGGGAATAGGATCAGTATAGCTGCAGCACATGCCAGGAGTCCAACTTGCACGTGGCTCAGATGCTTCCGCAGCCATCGGCACCGTGCATGCGCTTCAGCCATTGCAGTGAATGGGAGGGTCACTCTGACCGCCAGGCCCCTGCATCCGCTCCAGCATCTCCCAGTGGACTTTCCCTAGGTGATCTACTACATTCCAATCGCAGTACATCAGGGATCCGTACAAGAGGTATACCGTGACATCGACATCCGCAGGTCAGTTCGTATTCCATGCGCGGGCTCTCGGGCGCGAGAATCTGTGCGCGCGTGGGTCCTCCAACGCTGCCGTGTATTTGCAGCAACATACTCGCAGTCCATGCAACGATTGAAGACAAAATACGAAACAGGAGTAGCTAGGAGACTCAATGACGCTCCACGACGAGGTGGGCTTGCCGGCGGGGTCCAGTGTTCTGCCTGACATCCACGGTCGTTCGGTGAGGGATACCCCAGCCTGTCGCACAACAACACATGACCCATTTACGTAGCCCCATACCACATGCATGCCATATCAGGTGGAGATTGAGGATATGGACTGGAACGAAGAGCTGCAGGCCTTTACGTACGAGTGTCCGTGTGGCGACCTGTTCCAGATTTCCATGGAGGAGCTGGAGGCCGGTGAGGAGGGGAGCGGCGGTGAACCTACGGGATCGGAATTTCGGAGCTGGTGTCACTGAACAAACTCCGGCCATTGCTCCAGGGGGCCGGGACGAGGGAGCTGGTCCATCTCACACGGGAAGCACTGGCCTCCAGCGGGCATGCGTGGGGCTCTGACGCCGGCTTTCCGCACTTTTCTCCACAGGTGAAGAGATCGCGCACTGTCCGTCCTGCTCCCTGTACGTGCGAGTCATCTACGACCCAGAGGACTTTAGCCAGAAGGCCTCCCTTCCTGGCCCGGAACCCATCCTCGTCGCCTGAGCGAGAAGGGGGTTCCTTCCAGCACGCCGTCCCACGCGAGAAGTACATGTCGACGCCCAAAATGACCTTTGGTCCACCCAGCCTTCAACTCCTCCTCCTCCTCGCGGCCTGCTGGACCGCATCACCTTGCACCGGTCTGGCACTCGCACCTCGCCGCCTGCGCCTGTCGCGGGGGCCCAGCGACTCGTCGCCCCTCACCATCACCTGGGCCACGGAGGGCGGCCTCCTGCCCGCCGCCGTCTGTGTGGAGTGGGAGGCTGCCTTGCCGGCTGCTGGGAGGGGCCTGGACCAGCCGAGGCTGGGTCCTGGCCCTGCTCCCCAGCAGCGCTGCGCCAGTGGTGCCAGCACGCCATTCCACGACCCCGGCGTGAATGCAACCACCCAGGTCGTCCACAGCATGGAGCTGCGGGGCGTGGATTTGCCTCCCGGACACCCCTTCAGGTACCGCGTGGCGACGGTTGACGCCGCGGCAGCAGTGGTCGTCGCCGCGGCAGCGGTGTGGTCGCCATGGCAGGCAGCCCATGTGCCGGGGAGCAACGATGAGGAGGTGGGCGGGGTGACCGACGGTGGTCCATTGTTCAGTGGGCAGTCCTTCCATGTCCACATCCCCGCACATCTCAGTGGCTCCTTGGTGAAGCCTTCTTTGCTCAGCAACCACCTCTTCGCTCCTTCCTTCTCGACCACAGACCCGCCTCCTGGTGCTGGGCGACATGGGGCTGTACAACGCCCCCGCGCTGCCTGCCCTGATTCAGGATGCTGAGTCGGCGGCCCAGGCCGGCGCCCCCTTCCATGCCGCCCTGCACGTCGGCGACCTGGCCTACGACCTGCACTCCTATGGAGGGTCCCGCGGGTCGCGCTTTCTGGAAGCCGTGCAACCCCTCGCCGCCTCCCTGCCCTACATGGTGGCTCCCGGGAACCACGAGGCCGGGCCACACAACTTCACTCACTACAGGTGTGTGTTGCGGGCGTGTGGGGTGTGGGAAATGGGGTGAGGCTCGGGACTGGGGTTGAGAGGAGCATTCGCATGTGACTCCGACCCCAACAGTGTGGTCCGCAGGGATCTGCACCGTTTCACACTCCAACACCTCTGCTGACCTGTGATCGGCATCAGACCGCCATCCAAGCACACAGGTCACTGTTCCGCATGCCGGACCAGGGGGTGACGGAGAACCTGTACTACTCCTTTGATGTGGGACTGGTGCATGTCATGGTATACAACACAGGTGTGTAGGCTGTTTCCTGGTTGTGAGCAGGAAGGGGCCACACATCTGCGTTCCGGGGGGAGCAAGCTGTTTTGAGCTTTTACGGCATGCACGTGGATGGCAGCGCACGCTTATGCTTCCTCTTGTTGACTTGGACAGCTGCCAGCCCCACTGGCCCATGTCAGGCTCAACTCCGGATGAAGCTCCAGTTCCCTTGCACATGCGCAGAGGTCTTCTTCTGGCCAGACTACTTTTGGGAGCCTCACATGGAGGCCATGCTGGCTTGGATGGAAGCTGACCTGCAGGTGGGCACGCTGTGATAATGCAGCTTGCGGACTTTTCCCAAGCGCGTACCACACCTTGCCGTGATTGTGTACATCCTCTCTTCACACCAAAGCTTTGCCTCCTCCTTGTTTTTGACCCTACTGGCTCCCCTGGCGTGCTGTGTGCAGGCTGCTCAAGCACAGCGTGCCAAGCACCCTTGGATCCTGGCAGTGGGCCATCGACCCATGTACTGCGCTGCCCCACTGGGCAGCACAGGACGCTGCCACGAGGAAAGCGAGGCGAGCAGGAATGGAGTGCCCTCCCAGTGCCCACACAACAACCCCTTGGCCTGCAAGCCGGAGCCTGGACGGCGTGCTTTCCCAGTTGAGCCCCTCTTCCAAGCATATGGAGTGGACCTTGCAGGTGCTGGGCCACTGTGTGGGTGGGAAACATTTGGGTGTTGAATTCGACAAGGTGGGACTCAGTGTGGGGCGAATGGTTCAGCTGAATCTGTTGGTATGGCAGAAGCAATGGTGCACAGCTCTGCTGGAGGCTCGTGATGTCGATTGTTCGCTTCCGCATGCGAGGGCTGCATTGGGAGGTACCAACCCACAGAACATGCTCATGAATGTCGCCTGCCCTGCCTTCATCAGGTTGCATGATGTCCACATCCCCACCCCCACCCCACCCCCGGCCATTTGCAGTGTATGGGCACATCCATGACTATGAGCGCTACCTCCCCGTCCTGAACTACACGGTGAGCGGCAGCGTCGAGCGTCGAGCAGACAATGCTACCGTGTATGTGTCGCCTGGCGCCACCGTGCACATCACGGCAGGGGGCGCCGGCAACAGCGAAATGCGGAAGGGGGAGTGCCCTCCACCCCAGGGGGCCTGCAGGTGGGTGATACAGGGGAATGCGGGAAGCGAGGCACGTTTGAGTGTGTGGGGCGCAATCCAGGGAGTGGATACGCATGGCGATGCGCGTGGACATCTCATTTGTGGTGCCCAGCTTCCCTTCGCCCCCTCTACCTCTGATCTTCCCTCCTCACACCCCACATGGCTCATGGTCTCGCAGTCCCCACGCCACATGGTGCGCTTTCCAGTCCGGGTTCGCGCCGCGGGGATGCCAGGGCGCAGACCACAGCTATGGGAGGCTCACTGCGCTCAACTCCACACATCTCCATTGGGTCCAGTGGAGTCACACGTTTGACCGCGTGGTGGATGACTGGTGGATCGTGAGCCCCAGCCATGGGCCCTTTGCGTAAAGGCCAAGGCTGGCCAAGATGGACCTCGCTGCCAGCAAGGTCCAAGACCTTTCGCTGCCTGCGCCCTGCTTCAAACTGCCTGGTGTGCTCAGCGATCTCCAGGCTGTGTACCACGATCCTCAATAGGCACTGCATTGGTTTGAGGCGTGTCAATGCTGGTGGTGGCCTGCCAAGAGCCCAGAGTGGCAGCCGTTCATTGTTGAAAACCTGCAGAGCATGAATCTGTACAACGATTATGTTAATTCTTTACGGTCTGGCTTTTGTATATCACCAGCAACTTTAGAGTGCTGAAGGGTTGTGAGCTGACGGAACAGAAATCAATGCACACGGGTTCTGTGGGAAGCATGCAAGGGCCTCTCGGATGCTGGTATAATTCCTGCGGACGCGTCTCTGTAACACCATCCTCCTCCATCCGAGTCCCTGTGAGCTTGACAACTTCAGCAGATTTGAGCTTGCCGGCAGTCACCCTCCTCCCAGCAGTGCCTCCAGGGCGGCATTCTCATCTCCCCCTGCTGCGAGCAGCGCTGCCTCTGCCGCGCCCCGGTCAAACCCCATGTCTGTCAATCGCCCCAGCTTGGCCGCATCAGCTCGTCGCTCCTGCGCAAAGCTCTCCGTCCACAACCTTGCTGTTCTTTGGAACTCTGCAGGGTCTGTGAGACACTGGCGGGCGACCACGGCATCCTGTGGGGGTTGGTGAGCAAGTTTGACCTGGCTCAGGAGGGCAGAGGTCCCATGAAAGCATCAGAAGACTGTCACGACACATTCCCAAGGCAGTCTTCCTCACACGCGCCATGCCAGGGCTGCACCTGAGGGTCATCTGGCTGCGGGCTGCTGAGCAGCGACTGCAGGCTCAGCAGTGCAGTCTTGAGGGTCATGGCAGGGCTCCACTGATCCTTGAGGATGTCGAGGCAGATGGCACCGTTGGCGCTGCTCACATTGGGGTGCCACACCTGCGAGGGCCAGGTGCCTGCGGTTGAGGAACTGCAGGGCGCACCAGCCTTTTCCATGTAGTAGAAAGATTTGCCAGTCTAGAGCATACCCCAGTCCAACCCGCCTCGATGCGGCGTCACCACACCTTGTTCTGAAACCTCATCTTTGGGGGTGCGAAGGGGTGCTGCTGGTCTGGGAGAGGAGGGCACAGGGGGCATGACAAGTGAGTTTGGAACGTCTGGCTGCGTCACGCTGGAAGCCCCGATAGATGAGAGTAATCACTCTCCTTTCCGGCATACACGGCCCGCGCATTGATGCCTGGACAGGATGCCATCCTCATCCCCGTACCAAGTGTGATGGACACATAGAAGTAGCCGCCAGCATATGGAGTATCAGGAGGGCCTGCAGTTTCATGGAGGACACCGTGAAGTGGAGGGCTGCACATCTTCTTCCCACAAGGTAATCTACTGCCCTTTAAACCACTCCATCATCCCTGGAGCACCGCTTGCACCACCACCCCTCACCTCCCAGGCTCACCTCGGAGGCAGCCCACAAGTTCACGAATGTTGTCCCCTGTGGGGCTGATGGTCACGCCAGAGGCTGTGTCACGCCGGATGTCGGTGATTTCCTTCTGCACATTCCGGGGGCAGGTTCAAGGTGGGTCAGGGTGATGAACCGTCTCATAGAGTCGGCGTAGAGCCTAGACACCACTCCAGCGATACGGGAGGCACTTGCCTGTAACCTATTGGCATCGAAAGGCATGGTGAAGGAACGTGAGTGAAGCTGTCGCTCTCGATGATGCCGTCCCTTGTCAGAGGCCCCCGGCCAAGGAGTTCAGGACCTAACGGGCGATTTGATGGGAGCTGCGGCCCCGTCTCAGCATCGGATGTGTCCTGATATGAGATTATTTTGTGGTCAAGGTGTTTGAGATGGGAAAAGCATCGCTCGAGGGGGTGCGGGATGGACCATCGGTAGTCTTGACGCGCGGGCGGGCCCCAAACCTTCGCCCAGTCGGTGGGTCGGACCGTCTCGTCAGACTGCCCGCCTAGGGCCTGCGGGTCCTCACCTGCCTCCGTCACCACCAACCTTGACATTGGCCTCTCCTTCAATGCAGGCACGGCATTGCACATCATTGAGCATCATGCTGCTGCCGGGGGGGCAGCACGTCAAAGGGCGCAGGGACGGGCAGGTCGCTGGAGCTGATGCACATGGCCTTGTAGGACACGCCCATTCCTTCCTCCTCTTCCCCTTCGGCGCCCTCCGTCGGGCCGGGGTGCCCTGCGGCGCCCGCTGCCCCTCCCCGCGCCTCGCCTCCGCCGGCGGCTGCTCCAGCGTCCTCAGCCTCCCTGCTCATCCGCGGCCCCTCCACCCCCACCAGCCGCCGGAAGCCGGCCACCAGGTCCCTGGCTTGCCCGGCGTCGGCGCCACGCAGGAGCGCTTCCAGCCTGGCCCCCATGCCCAGGCCCAGGAGGAAGGAGGCCTGGGTCAAGGGCCCGTGGCACGCGACACCCTGCCCCGCGCCCCGCGCCGCCTGGCGCAGCGCCGAGAAGTCGACGCGTGCGGACAGGTCCGCCGACCCGGGTGCCTGCAGCAGGGGCCGGAAGCGGTGCCGCGCGATGGCGGCCAGGCTGGCCTCATACGGCCCGTCCTGGCCGTAGTCGATGAGCAGCGCGGCGCCGCCGTGCGCCGCCACGCGCCGCGCCAGCCCCTCCGCGACCGCCATGCCCTGGGGGCAGACCTCCAGCTGCGTCAGGGTGGCGGCCAGGGCGGGGGGCAGGCCCGCCAGCCGGCGCGAGACCAGCAGGCGGGAGGCGGGGGTGGGGCCGGGGCTGAGCACCAGGCGCAGGTGCAGGGGGGGAGTCGGGCGAGGCCACGTCCACCAGCCGCTCGCACCAGCCGCGCTCGGTGGGGGGGGGGGGGGGGGGATGGAGGTCGACCGGGGGGAGGGGGTGCACCGTGAGCGTGCGCGCGAGCGTTCCACGCCAGCGAGCCCACCTACCGGTCTTCTGGAACTGGTGCACGGGAAGGGCGTCGATGAACTCGTGCCCGATGAAGAGGGTGGGCAGGTCCTGGGGCACGCCGTCCAGCGACCGGTGCCAGGCGACGGCGACCCCCGGCCGACCGGGGACGAGCCGGGACGGCCCCGGGGCGTCCCCGTGCCCGCCCCCGCCGCAGCGCAGGGCACGGGCTTGCAGGGCTTGGAGGGCCGGCGACACCTCCACCAGGTCGACCTGTCGGGGGTGATCGTCGGCGGGTTGAGAGGGGAGTTGGGGTGTCCTGCCCCCACCCACAAAAGCGGCAGGTGCTGGGCCAGGTGCCGTGCAGCTGCGAGGCAGCAGGATCTCCTACTGCCCCACAATCCAACCCAAAAGACGAACTCTGCCCCCTCCAGGCCACACCTGTATGGCAGAGTGGAAAGTGGGGAACGCAGCCGTTCCCCTGAGCAGGTCGGCCATGAGGGTGCCCCTCCCGGGGCCCATCTCCACGATCCTCAGCCTCGGCGGGCTCCCCATCTGCATCCAGGTGCTGACACACCAGATCCCCACCATCTGCAAGGAGATGCGGGGTTGCATGAGGTTTGAAGTGTTGGTAGCCTGGCTTTGTGACGGTGTGAAGCGAACCGAAACTTTCAAGCCTGCACTGATCAGGACGGCCCTCGTCCACTCCCTTTTGGCACCCCTTCAAACCGCCGCTCACCTCCCCAAACATTTGGGATATCTCAGGGGATGTGATGAAATCGCCTGCCGTGCCAAACACGTCCCTGTTGATGTAGTAGCCTGCTGTAGGATTGGTGAGCACCTCGGACATGTACTCAGCCAGGGTGATGGGCCCGCTCCGAAACTGCGGGAGGACGAGGGTTCCGTGCTTGTTTGCCACAGGTGAAGTGGTCAATGATCAAGCATGTATGCAGGCACGTACCTTGATGAGGGTCTTCAGGTGCCTAGCCATTGCCGTCTCCACCTCCTTCTCCACGCCCTCCACCGTGTGATCATCCGGGGCGTAGAGGCCTGATCTATCGATGCTAATGATGTGTCCCTCCGTAGAGTCATTGCCATCGGAGGTCACAGTACGCGTGGCCTGCACCCAGCAACGGCGTGCTGTCACCGCACACCGGGCGAGCCCGACACCCCTCAACATAAGGGTGACCTGCCGGGGGCCGCCGCGTCGTCTGATGCACCCCACAGCCTTCCCAGAGCCCACTCTTCATGCTAACCAGGGTCTCAAATATGTTTACATCGACATAGCCTTGGTTTCCCAGCATGCGTGCAGGGCCACCCATCCCTGCGTTGGAGACCCCTGCTCCTGCTCCTCCCAACAACGATTCTCGCGCCCTCGCTCACACACGGCGTGACATTTTTGCACGCCTGCTGTCATCGGCGAGCCCCGGTGGAGGGAATACAGGGTTGCACATACCCTTCCGTCTCGTATTTCCCTGATTCAGCGGTTTCTGGGACCCATCTGCCCGCCCTCCCTCGGGCTCATCGCCATATAGGAGTGCACGGGGTGTGAACGCTGCACCCAGAAATCCATGCTCTCCAGGCCGGCGATTCAGGGATCGTGATTGGACTTTCCTCGACTCAAGCACGCCGACAGGGCGCCCCTGGACTGAGGATCGCACCGGACCCCCGTCCGACACGCCATGGGATCGGCCCGCCGCGGGGGCGAGCTCGCCCTGCTGGCCTGCCGCGCCCTCCTCCGCCGCCGTGCACCTTCCGCCGCGGGCGAGTGTCAGGCCTGGATCGGCTCGGCCCCTCGCTGGGGCTCGCCCGCCTTCCAGGTCGCAGGGACCATGCGTGACGTCCTGGCCCCTGGCCCGGCGTGGCTGCACACCTCCAGCTGGGCCGCCCAGCAGGGGCTGGGCCAGACCCCGCAGCAGGGCCTCCCTGCACCCACCCCCCCCGGCGTGCCACCGCCCGGCCCCCTGCCCGGGGCCGGCACGCCGCCGCCCGGCGCGGGTGCGGCGCACCTACCCCCGTCCCCGGCCGCCAAGCCGGCGGCAAACGACGCGGACGAGTGCGACGAGGTGATGGAGGACCTGGCGGAGACGCGGCGCCGCGTGCGTGCCCTGAACCGCCCCGCGCCCGGGGAGGTGTCGCTGAGCAAGCGCGCACGGAAGCTGGCGGGCGTGGCCGTGGGCGCGGTGCGCGCGACGGCCGTCTTCGTCCTCTCCGTCCCCTCCCGCCTGGCGGCCTTCGCCGCGCTGCCCGGCGAGGAGAAGCGCGCCGCCGCGCTGCGCGGCTGGCAGGTGGTCAAGCGCGAGGCCAAGCACTACTGGATCGGGACCAAGCTGCTGGGCGCCGACGTGCGCATCGCCAGCCGGCTGTGCCTGCGCGTGCTGCGCGGGCGCACGCTCACGCGGCGCGAGCGCACCCAGCTAACGCGCACCACCGCCGACATCTTCCGCCTCGTCCCCATGCTCGTCTTCGTGGTGGTGCCCTTCATGGAGCTGCTGCTGCCGGTGGCGCTGCGCCTCTTCCCAAACATGCTGCCCTCCACCTTCGAGGACAAGCTGAAGAAGGAGGAGGAGCTCAAGCGCTCCATCACCGCGCGCCTGGAGATCGCGCGCTTCCTCCAGGACACCGTCAGCGAGATGGCCGAGGCCGAGATGGAGCGCGGCGGGACCGAGGAGGTGCGCACCTCCGCCGCCGACCTGTACCAGTTCATGCAGAAGGTGCGCGCGGGCGCGCCCGTGTCCACCGCCGAGCTCCTGCGCTTCGCCAAGCTCTTCAATGACGAGCTCACCCTGGACAACCTGGTCAGGTGAACAGCGGAAGCTTTCTTTTAGCGGTGTAAGGGTGGTGTGTGGGGGGTTGGGGGGAGGAGAACTGCTGGGGAAAGGGAAGGGCGAGGCTGCGGGGGTACCCGATGACCGTTCTTCATACCATATCGATCGTCGTGCCCGGCACTGGCGCGGAGTCGTTCCCTTTTTGGGGGGTCCCTAAGCAATGCAGCACCTGGGGTTGCAGGGGAATGGAGGCAACAGGGCTCCCTTCAGAAACTCCCCCCACCCGTTTGTACAGGGTCCAGCTGGTGAGCCTGTGCCGCTTCGTGGGCATCACACCCTATGGCACCGACGCCTTCCTGCGCACGCGCCTGCGGCGCCACCTGCAGCAGATCAAGGCGGACGACCGCGACATCCAGGCGGAGGGCCTGGCCTCGCTGTCGGAGGACGAGCTGCGCGGGGCGTGCCGCGCGCGCGGCATGCGCGCGCCCTTTGGTGAGGGCGCCGCCGACTTCATGCGCGCGCAGCTGGCGGAGTGGCTGGACTGGAGCCTGAACCGCAGCCTGCCCAGCTCCCTGCTCCTCCTCTCCCGCGCCTTCACCGTGACCAGCCCGCTGTCCGGCGGCCGGCGCGGCGTGGACGAGGACATGCTGCGCAGCACGCTGGGCAGCCTGCCCGACGAGGTGGTGGAGGACGTGGAGCTGTTTGCCACGCGCGACGGCGACGACAAGACCGAGGCCTACGAGCGCAAGCTGGAGCTGCTGGAGCGGGAGGAGGAGATGATCAAAGAGGAGGAGGAGGCGGCGGTGGCCGCTGAGACGCCCATCACCTCCGGCGCACAGACTGCGCAGGAGCTGACCGCCGCCGTGGCCGCCGCGGCCGTCGTGCGCGAGGCCGCCGCCTCGGCCATGGTGGACGTGCTGGAGGGGGTGAGCGAGGAGGAGAAGGCCGCCAAGTACGCGGAGGCCCGCAGGAGCAAGATGCGCAAAGTGGTCAAGTGAGCGGGAGGGAATTGGGTGGGGGTGGGGAGAGGGTGCGTGTTGCAGCGGGGGGGTGAATGGGTCTCACTTTGGGGGCTTGTGCTCTCGGCACTCAGAACGTTTCTTCTTGGAGAAGGGGTCGCCGACGGAGGCCGGCCTCCTGGAGGACTGTCTCCCAGCAGTCAAGTATCCAACCCATCGGAAAGCCGCGGTGTGGTGGGAGTCCGCGGCTGGAACGCCACACCACCAATGGTCCCACTCCCCCGGGCGTGGGAGTGGGGGTCCTCCGCTTGAACTTCATGTGCGACACATTCGCCTGCCTTCCTTTCGAGAGCAGGGGGCCTGCGTGGACGCCCGGCGCCGTCCCCCGGGCCCCCGGCGCTATATTGCCCCTGAGGCCGGGCCTCGGCGCGCCGGCGCCGCCCGGGCCGGCGAGGGCGCATGTCGCCCACGCCTCGAGCCTGTGCGTGCGCTGTGGGGTGTGCCTGCCCCGCCTGCAATGTCCGCCGGGGGGGGCGGGGCCGGCCGGATATTACTCTGCCTGCTGTCCTGAGACGCTGGGGCAAGCTGCGGGCACAGTTTGTGTTGTTCCTGGCAGGCGGGACTGGGAGCCCCACTCCACACCAATCACACAAGCAGCTGCAGGACTCACCCCGCACCATGCCCGGGCTGATCCGGGGTAAACCTCCTCACAACACCCACAGCACGCCCACGCACAACACTCTTTGCAAACATCCACAGCACACCAACGCACCTCGTAGCGCAGCCTTCCCGGGCTTCAGTTCCCGTCCCAGTCACCCACGTCCCCCTAACATTCAGACAAGTCTCACACACGCACACATACTCATGCCCACATTCAAGCACACACCACCTCTCCCACTCAAACCCCCTCCAACCCCCATCCTCCTCCTCTCAACCCCCTGCACTGCAGCGCCCTGGCGGCCCTGGCCTCCAGCTCCGGCGTCGCGGGGGAGCGCACGGCCTTCATGGAGCTGGTGGAGAAGGAGATCGGGCGGCTGGAGTCCAACCTGACCAAGCGCGGCGGTGGCATGGTCTTCACACGCGGCGCCCTGGCCTCCAGCCGCCAGGCCGCGCTGGAGGGCATGGTGGGCGAGTCGCGCCTGGCGGACAAGGTGGCGAGCATCCTGGGCCGCGTGGAGGCGGAGCTGGACGCCGCCGACGCGCACATCGGCAATCGCCTGCACGTCCTCGACCTGGACCAGGACGGCGTGGTGCGTGGAAGGGAGGGGAAGGGAGAGTCCTGGGATGAACAAGCGGGAGAGGGAAGGGACGGAGCTTGGCACCTCTGGGGGGCGGTTGGATGGGGTTGCTGCGGTGGACATAGTGCACGCCAAGGATCCAGCAAAGGGCAATGCTTTGTGATCGCATCTATGGGCCTGATGCTGACCATGTGCGGTTCATGGTATTCCCACCCCGCTGCGGTGCACGTCGCATGCACCCCTCCCCACCCCTCACCTCCACGACATTCTCCATAGAACAACAATAAATCCTTGCCGCTATGCACCTCACCCTAAACCCCCCACAGATCTCGGTGGAGGAGCTGCAGACGGCGCTCAGCTTCCTGCGGGAGCAGGTGGGGGAGGAGGAACTGAGGCACATGCTCCAGGTCCTGTCGCGCGAGGCCGGCACCGACGGCGCCATCGACGTGAACAAGTTGATGGAGATGGCCAAGCGCGAAGATGACGAGGACGACGACAAGTAGCGGAAGGCCCTGCTGCCTGCAGGCCGTGACCCCACGAATCTGCCCTTGCATCTGAGTGGGAGCGACAGGGCCTGTCCTGTAGACCTGGCGCTCGTTTCACTTTTGGTCCCCCTTTTTACTCTTCGGAAAGCGACCTGTATACCTTCAGTAGCATTCAAGCGTGTGAGGATTTTCAGAGCGCCATGGTGCATGCGATCGATTGATGGCGCCACTCCTTGATGTGATCGAGCCAAGCCTCTGATCTCTCGGAATCACACTTGTTCCATTTCCTGGTAAATATTCCGTGAGTATGAGTCGAAGGGCCTGAATCCCTGCACTGCACAACCACGCGCGATATGGTGCAGGCCGAGGCCTCCCCAGCCGGCCTCGCTTCGCTGTTCGAGGAGCTCATCAGCCTCAAAACCGGATCGCAGCTCCTGGGAGATCAACCGGACTATGCACCCGCGCTCCGTGCTGCCAGCGAGCAGATCCTCAGGCTGCGGGCCCTGCTCCGGGAGAGGTGCGAGCACACCGAGTCCCTGCGCCAAGACACCGCTGCGGCCAAGGTCAAGCTGGATGAGAGCTCCCTAGAGCTGAAGAATCTGGCCTATGAGAAGGAGCACTACACCAAGGAGACCAACGCCTGCCGGGCATTCAAGTAGGGTCAACTTGGGGTTGAGAGGGTGACCGGTGATGCTGCAGCACGCATTCAGAATTTAGTCAGTAGCACTGCAAGATTTCACATATCCAGCACGTCTCCCACCGTTCCCCCCAGGTCGGCCTATGCCGATGAAGCCCTGGAGCTCTTGCCGGTGGACCAGTTCCTCCGGGTCTGGGGCGACCAGGATGTGGACGATCCCCACCGCCTCATGCTCAACCGCCTGACCCACGAGATGGTGTATAGGTGGGGCAAACATCTGTGCTCTCTGGAGGCATGGCCTGCGGCTCTGGCTCGCTGGATCAGATCTCCTTTTTCTCCAGTATTTCCTGCCCGCGCCATCAGCCTCCCCCACTCGCATGGCCCCTTCGCTCGCAGAAAGGAGACCATACAGCAGCTGGAAGGCCTCCGCGCAAAGCGCGACGCGCTGGCTGCTGAGGTGGCCGGAAAGCGCGGCACTGTGAGCGGGCTGGAGAGCGAGCTGGCGGGCCTGCACGCCAAGGCGCTCGCGTTGGCCGAGCGGTACGGCGCGGCCGTACCGCCAGCGCCAGGCGCAGCAGCCGCGGCCCTGGCCTCCGCAGCGACGCTGGCGCCGCCCCTGTACGTCCTGCACTCCCAGCTGCTGGCGGCAGCGCGGAGGGGGGAGGCAGAGGCCTCTGGCAGGCACGCCAGCGTTGAGGTGGCGGCCGCGCCCGGAGAAGATGGCCGAGGTGGTGAGCCCATCGTCGCCCTGCGTGTCACCAGCGGTGATGCCGTGAGCCTGGCCGTGGACTTTCGGTACTCTGCGGAGCTGGGAGCAGTCCTGGCCGCGCCCCACCCGCCCACCACCGCTGCACAACTGGAGGCGGTGGGGGGTGGCGGGGCCGCGGCAGCGGGGCACGCGCCTGAAAGCGGGGCCTATGCCTGGGCGCAGTCCCTGGCGGGGCTGGACCTGCTGCCGGCGCTGCCCCCCGCCCCGGCGTCGGCGGCCTGGAGCGAGACAGAGCTCCGGGAAGCCATCCATCGGTACACGGCGGCAAACACCGCGCCCTCCATCCTGGCTAGCCTGCTCGAGGCATCGCGCCAGGAGGCCATGGAGGAGGACTAGGGTTCGCTGGGCGGCTGAGCACCTATTTTCTCATGCCCGCGGAGACCCCACCACTGAATCCCCAGCACTCCGGGGGATTTAATGCGTCCCTGACTCATCCAGCAGCATGGCTCGGTGGCAACCCTTCTTCAACCCCCTTCACTCCTGCACATATGCCGTGCCCTGTCCATGGGTGGGGGTGCTTTCAGGCACAATGGGTCAATGACAACAGGGGCAATCGTCAGGCCATCTCCAGAAGTGTGTGTGTCAGAGCCGATTCGTGGGAAGGGAGCGTGCGCAGTATGGCCGGGGCTGGCTTGAGCAGGTTGGGATGAGGATGCCTCGCAAGGGGGGGCCACCCGGCTCGTCACTGGAAAGTGCCGCGGATGGGGAGCTTGCGGTCCTGCACAAACTGGATGCCTGCGGGAGGGGAGAATTTGGAGGAGGTGCCTCATCACACTCTGTTCCCTGATGTACAGGAGGGGTTAGGTACCCACAGATGCTCGCCAGTCTGGCAGCATGGCACCAATGCGATACTACAATATGCTCGACACCATTCACGCAGCTGTGTCACGCCACACAGTCCCTCGGTCCTCTCTGCCAAACCCACCCTGCACGATCTGCTTCAGGTCGGGGCGGGCGAAGCTGGCGTTGGAGTAGGTGACGACATGCAGCAGACCCGCCGGGTTGATGAGAAACAGGGCCGGCTCTGTTGTGTTCAAGGGGGGAGGGGGGGACAGGAGCATTGTCAGGAGCTGGTGTGTGCTCGGGATGGCACATCAGCAGACCTTGAAAGGAGCAAGGGACTGGTGGTGTGGGCAGCGCCCCAGGGACTGATATCTGGTCATCAATCGCCCCAAACCAGAGGCCTCCAACCCACAACTCACCAGAGAACAGGGAGCTGGACTCATCGGGGCCCAGGGGCTTGGAGACATACAGTCCCCAGCGCAGCATCTGCTCCTCGTTCAGGCCGTAGGCGACCTTGAAGCCAATGCGTCCGGCCTTGGTGTCGGGGCTCACCGCCAGGACGGCACCCCTCAGGTCATCCACCTGGCACAATGAGGGGAAAGAACGTGCAGGCTGAATCCAAGCCAGAGGGCGGTCGGGGCCAGAAGCGTCATGTATAGCAGGAAAGAGGGTGAGAGAACAAAACAATGTGGCCAAGGAAGCATGCCAGAGTGTAGCCTGAAAGGGCATCCTAAAAATCCCAATGCCTGAAACCATCCCTCACACACACTTTGCTCGCACGCATCAAACACCTTCCTGTTTTGGAAAACAGGCCTTTTCCTTGTCAAACATTAACCCTCCCACTGGTGTCGCCACTCACAAAGCTGCAGGCCTTGCCACGGGTGTCGGCTGACACGGCGGAGATATCCACTCCCAGCTCCTCAAACTCAGGGTAGAGGTGCTGCATGCGGAGAGAGCCGAAAAAACTCAGTGCGGGCCCACATGTTGCCATGCAGGACTGGAGAGACCTTTGCAGGCATGGCCCATACCCAAACAGGCCAGTGCACCACCCGTACCTGCAGAGCAGCCAGGTAAGTCAGGTCCAGGGGATCGTGCTGGCCACGGTAGACCACCACCAGCTGCCACCTTCCGGTAGGCGCTCCCAGCTCCACGCGACCTCCCTGTGAGGGGCGGCATGGGGACATCGCAAGACCGCGGGCGATTCCAAGACTCCCGGGACGGGGGAAGTGTGCCGCCGCACACCCCATGCACGCCGCACACCCACATCGCGCCCCCCCTCACCTCCGTCGTGGGCAGGGTCACATGAGGCAGTGCCACCCCGGGGCGCAGCTTGATGGCCGGGATCTCGCCCCCCGTGGCCTTGCTGAAGACGTTGGAGCAGCCTTGGCGGACAGCAGCCATGATGGACGCTTACCGTTAGGGTTGGGGGGGTGAGTGCAGATTTAATGTTCGGTATGAGTGATCGAGTTGGGGTGGAAGGCTCGAGGCGTATTATGGAGGGGTGTGCTGAGGTGCGCCAGCTGCCCCCCAGCGTCATGCCCACGGGAGGGGCCACCTCGCCCCTTTCTACCCAAAACCATCGGACCGATCAATGCAAGGGTTGCCATCGCGAAGGAAGGGCCAATTCGAGGGCAGGATTCGCTGGGCCCAGGGAACGATCTGTAATGCTTCCACCGATCTTTGCGTTCTTTCATCTTCTCGGCGTCTACAGGAGGATGGCCGAGCCGTCTACTCGAGCTTCCACCGCCGCATAGTGGGTCGACCACGAGATGGATGCCCTACGTAGCATACCAGCTCTGTTGATTCACAGGAGACAATCGGAAGATAGAACGTTGATCATCAGTGCGCTTTCCTGCGGTAGGTTTTACATTATCTTTTTGGGTCTCTTCTGAGGGTGCTCCACATCCATGATTCTTTTCACTCTAACACCAGACACCACCCCTGCTGTCAGACATATCGCCATCCAATTGCCATCACCTCCATCCTTTCCTCTTTGAGCACAATTTTTGTCATGAAGAAGTAGTGTTACAGTAAAAAAATCAAGACGGAGGTGCTGCTTTGCCTGGGGTGATGTACCCTGCCTTGCGCCCCTCAAATCCGGCACGGAGCAACTTCTTGTCGCGCCGGTCCTTCTTCTTGTCCTTCTTCTTCTGGATGCGGGACGAAATGTGCTCCTGGCGCCTGGAGTGGTGTTGGGCGAGGGGTTATGTTTTGCATCCGCCATTTGAGCTGCTGAAGTAATGTGCTGCGGTACATCTCTCGCTGGGATGGCAGCTGGGCAATGCTTGCGAAACGAAACACCCACATCCCTAGCGACATGCTTCATGCCTCCCACACTTCTCACTTGTTTTGCCGCGTCTTCTGCTCGTCTGTCTGCTTCGCAATCCTACCCTGCCAAGCCTTCTGCTTCTTCTCCTTCATCTTGGCCTCCTGTGGGACAGAGTGACCGGTGTGGGATCGGTGAGATGTGCGAGGATTCTCTACATGCACCTTCGAGGGAGACTACGCCAGTCAACCCTCACAGTAATTCCCCTTGGGAGCCACCCCTCAGCACCTTTTTTAGGCTCTTTCGTAGCAGCTTGGGGTCATCATACACCTTCTCGCCGGCAGCTCTAGCCAATGCGGTTCCCCAAGCCTCCTGTTGCATGGACAGGGAAGTGACAGAGATGCTGAGAAGCCCATCTGCTGGATGCCTCAGCATTCCTGATCACCACACAGCAAGCTTGCAGGTCTGAGGGCATCAAATGTTTCCACCACCATCCAGGTGCCAGCCGTCTTGTTACTGTTAGCACATTGTCCCCATGCCAACCAATGACACAAGATCCCTGAATCCACCAAGCAACTTTCCTACCTTCTCATTGACCCCGCCCTCGCTGTCCTTTGCCTCAGCCTGTTCCAGCAGCTTGGCCTTGCTCGGTCGCTTGTGCCTTCGCCGCGATGCATCACCAAAGTCCAGGCTGCTGAATGTCTGCTTTACCTCCAGCTCCGGGGCTGCCGCGGGGCCCTCGACCTTCTGCTGCTTCTGTCTGGGCTGGCCCTTGGGTGCCTTCTCATTGCCCTGTGACACCTCCAATGTCCGCTTCTGAGGAAGGGGGGTCAAGAATGACGCGTTGCACCACCCATGCTGGACACAATGCATGTGCTTGGAGCGCACATGTCCACTCCTGACGGTTTCCCTTGTGTAGACACGGTTTCGGGACTGCAGCAGACTGCCACGAGGCGCCCTTCCCACCACACTGCAGCGCCCATGCCCACCTTGGCCTTCTGCCTGCCGGTGGCGAGCGCCTGCTCACGCCAGGCCTTGGCCTGCTCTGCATTTCCCGCCAGCTCGTCTGCTTTCCTCTGCTGCCTCATGATCTGCGCAGTCGGACGGTGTACGCGAGTGCAGTGAGGACCTGATCACACCCCGCGAGATGTACAGCAGGCCGCCGACCATTCCACCCCGTGTCTGGCGCTCCTGCACCCCGATGTCGCACATCATCCACAACCCCCATGCTCAAGCACCCCGCATGCAGACTCAGCACGCACCTCAAGTTTCTTCTGGAGCCGCTCCCGGAGCTCTTCCCGCGACGGAGGCTTCCCTGTCATCGCAGATGTAATGGGGAAAGGTGAGCTTGGCCCTGCTTCAGTCCAGTGCCCCTCCCAATGCCCCTCCCCTTGAGTACCACCTGCCAGGCAAACAGATGTCTGGGCCTGTACGGCATCACAACCCCCTGCAAGCCAAGATCCCTGCAGCGCCATGCCCCACCTTGAGTCAGCACGAGGGTGGCCACGGGGGCGGCTGTACCCTCTGCAGGCTGACGGGACGCAGTGGCCGCGGGCTCTCCGACCACCACCGGTGTCGTCGGGGCGGGGCCGGCTTCGTTGCCCCGCCCACTGGCGCGCTGTTCCGCCGCCGCCGCCGCAGCGACCTCCCTCTGCAGGTCCAGCGTGCTCTTCGCCTGATCCGGGTCCAGCTGGGCCTTCTTGTTCTCCTTGTATTGAGCCTTGAAGGCCGCCTTGGCCTCATCCCGCACGGACTTCTTGACGTACTTCAGGTTCACACGGCCAGCGTCGGTGTGCAGATAGAACTTTGGGGGCACCATCTCCACCAGCCTCGCGAAGAAGGCCGCATGGTCTTCTATAGACATGCCGGGAAGGTCGGGGGCCTCCCGCCTGCTGCTGCGAGCCGCGTTTTGATTCCCTGAGCTTGCCGCAAGTGTACGGGAAACGCAGGAGCACAGTCCCGAGTCAGGGCACCAAGCGAGGTTGTATCGGAATTGAGAATGTTCCTAGAGATTTTGTCATGTACCACGAATGCATGCAGGAGGGCTGGTCCCGGGGCGGCACCTCTCGTCCACCCTTGGCGCCTTGGGACAAGGGGACCGTGGCCTGAGGAACGGTACCCCGAGGGGTTACCATTTTGGCAGGGTGCCCGAGATACTTCACACATATACAATGCTTGACGTGCATGGAGAGTGGAGTCTTGCCCAAAGACATTCTGAAATGCAATTGAAACCATAGATTACCACTATGTCTCAGCGCATGCTGGTGTGCCGGGCGGTGCATGCTGCATTTCGTCAGTCCCTGTCACCCCCTCCGCCACTGACCTCCCTGGTTGCATATCAGCGAAGCATCTCACCTTTGAGGCCCTGTGCAGTCTCTCGGCGGAACATCTTCGTCGAGCCTCCGTCTCGAAAGGATGAGGAGCTCAAGGTATGTGTCAGATGGTGGTTTGTGTGTCGCGGGTGGGTGCCTTCCTCCTGTGGGCAATCCATGTGCACAAATCTGAACATGTGCCAAGGCCATGCAACTTTGCTTGGTATACCTCGTCAGCATCTACAGACATACCTGGCACTGTAGTATTGCTTTTCCATGAGGTCACACCAATATCTGCCACGACACTGTGCAGGAGCTCTACCCGCCCGGCAGATTCAACTCCGAGGAAGATGAGGACGAGCGCCCACCTGCCCAGCTCAGCGTGCCGCAGCAGCGAATTCGACACGCTCAGACACCACTGGAAGTCAGCACAGTTGGTCCTGCAGCCCACTCCCGCGTCAAGTCTGCCACCTTTGTGAAAAGCAGTGTGACGGTGGACCAGTGCCCCCACGCCACCCACCCCGAATTTGCCGTCATTGGGCGGTCCAACGTGGGCAAGTCGTCGCTGATCAACATGCTGACCAAGCGCACCTCCCTTGCCATGGTCTCCAAGACGCCAGGTGGGCATTGATGGGGCACCCATAGTGACTGCCAGGGCTACCATGCGGAGATGACACCGCTCTAGCGGCCCAAGACAGCTGCCCGTAACAAGTGCAATCCATGCTCCCCCTGCAAAACAACATATCGCCCCCTCACCGCAGGCAAGACACGGTGTATCAACCACTTTCTGATCAACAACTCATGGTACCTGGTGGACCTGCCTGGGTATGGGTATGCCAAAACCTCCAAGGCCAATGTGAAGCTGTGGAACGACTTCACCCGGGAGTACTTTGTCAATCGGGAGACGCTGGTGGCAGTGCTGCTCCTGGTGGATGCCTCCATCCCGCCCCGAGACTTGGACGTTGAGGCAGCCGCCTGGTTTGCGTCTGCAGACGTGAGAGCCGTGCTACAGGGGGAGTGGTTTTGTTTGAGTGTGCCAAGGTGCCCTGTGCATGGCTTGGGCAAGATCACGGCAGGATGCCAAAGAGTTGCATACCCTCGACCCTGAGCACTGTGAGACGAGCTGCATGCACTCAGATTCAGCCCCCACTGGGCCCCTCCCCTGCCAGCCGGCACCCTGTGGCCCGCATCCTGTTGCAATGAGTGCCCAGGGTACCATTCCCAGCCCCTCCTTCCTCCCCCACCATAAGTATACAGGTGCCCTATGTGGTGGTCTTCACCAAGACGGACAAGCACAAGAAGGGCGCCCCACACAACGAGGTCAACATGGAGACCTTCCTGCAGAGCCTGGCGGCGAGCGGCATCCCCGAGCCCCCGACGCTGCGCACCAGCACCAAAAAGGCCGAGGGCCGGGAGGCGGTGCTGGCCTACGTGGCCAAGCTGCGCGATGCTTTCATTACCTCCGCCGCTGCGGACGAGTGATGGTGTGTATCTTGTTCTCCTGCAGACTGCTAGCCTGCATGTATTCTGACGCCGTGCGCGGCCTGACCACCCGTGCACGCATGTGTGTGTGCCTTTTACAGACTGGAACAGGGAGAGACCACGCTTGTGGGGGTCGCAGAAGGTGGTGTGGGTGGGGAAGCAGCCCTCGTGGGGCTCCACCCCCTTCCCGGGCCCCTACCTCAGCTGGGTGTGGGAGCAGACCAGACCCGAGGCCTCCAGGCCAATGCGCGAGAGGCCGCCCACGGGGCTGAGCTGGCCCTCGGCCTGCGGCTGGAACCGCGCCTTGGTGTACGGGTCCTCCACGAACTTGTGCCCGCGGTAGATGGGCGTCCAGGTCACGGAGCACAGGTCGAAGGGGTTGCGCGGGTCGTACTCCAGCTGCACTGCGTCGGTGGGCGACTTCTCGCAGGCCGCCAGCACCTGCCGCGCCTGCGTCGCCATCTGTGCACATTTTGTTTTGGGGAGAGTGCACGGCATTTAGCTGGTTGGGTGAGATTGTGTTGAGGTGTGGGGATCGGCGGTGTCCTGGGCACGGACATCTCGCCATGGACGCGGAAAGAGTGGCAGGGAGGCAGGCAAGCTTACTCGCTCCGCTCCAAGGAAAGCAAGAAGACCTCATGAACACCCTGCTCCCACACGCATCTGAGCAACCCACACACGCACATCCAGGCCCTGTTGCCTCTCCCTCCCTCCCCCCCCTCCACGTGGACCCGACCCCCCCCCCCCCCCCAACCCACACAAAAACACCTCACCCACCTTTTCGTCGGGCTGGAGGTCCAGCAGGCGGCGCGCAAAGGTGGCGCAGGTGGCGTAGTTCTTCAGCTTGAAGAAGGCGGACATGGCGGAGCGCAGGCTGAGCGCCAGGTGCACGCGCTGGAGGGCGCAGTGCGTGAAGTAGGCGGCCAGCTCGGCGGCGCGGCGCGGGTCATCGCGGGCCTCGCGCCGCTTGAGCTCGCAGCGCACCGCTATGTTGTAGTCGCGCGCGATGCCCAGCAGCTCGCGCACCTCATCCACGCCCTTGCGGCTGTCCACCACCACCAAGGGCACGGCGTGCAGGATGCCGTCGATCAGGCGCAGCGCGTCGCTGAACTTGCCCTCGGTCACGGCGCGGTAGGCGCGGCGCAGCGCCTCCTCCAGCCGCGCCAGCGTGGCCGGGGGCGCGGGCAGGCGCGCCGCGGCGCCGCCGCCCTCCTCGCCCCACCCCGCCTCCAGCCCCACGCCCAGCGCGGGCGTGCCGGCCAGGCCGGGGACGAAGGCATGTGCGGCGGCCGCCGCGTCCAGGGCCAGCGCGCGCAGCGGGCCCAGCTCCACCACGCCCAGCTGGGCGCGCAGCAGGCGCGCGCCGGCCTCGAACCCGCCCGCGGCAAAGTGCTCGCCGGCCAGCGCGGCGCGCGCCTGCCAGCCGTGCTCCGGCAGCGGGCCGGGCGCGGGCGCGGCAAAGGCGGCCGCGCCGCCCGCCGCGCCCGCGCCGCCCGTGGGGCTGCTGGGCAGGTCCAGGTCGTCGTCCAGGTCCCAGCCGCCGCCCTCGCCGCCGGAGCCGGCCGCGGCCTCGCCGTCGTCGTACACGGCACCTGTGTTGTTGTTGTTGTGTGAGTGTGTGTGTGTGTGTGTGTGTGTGTGTGTGTGTCTCAGGGGGAATGTGAGGGTGTAGGGGCCAGGGCATGGGGCAAACGAGGAGCAATGTGAGTGGGATTGGAGGAGGGCTTCCCAAATCGACGGGTCGTGGGGGCACATGCTTGCGGGGGGTGCCCTGGTCGAAGTCCCACCCAGACAGGGCGACCGCGATGGTCGGAACGGCCAGGGCCGTCGCCCACGCCCCATCCTGTCCCAGGCCACCCTCACTCATCACGACCCCCCTTCCCGGCACCCCCCAGCCCTCGCAAGATACCAATCATACGCTCCCGACCCCGCACCCCCCCTCACCCTCGTCGCCGGAGGCGAGGAGCTGGTCGTCGTCGCCCCAGGCGTCGCCCACGCCCTCCATGTCCAGCGCGGCGTCGGCGACGACGGCCGCGGCGTCCGCGGCGACGCCGGCGCCGCCGTCCAGGCCGCGCTCGCGGTCGCGCCCCGCGTCCTTGGTGGCCAGGGTCTCGAAGAAGCCCTTGCTGACGGTGAGCAGCGGCCAGTTGGCCTCGCGCAGGAGGACGGGGGGCGGGGCCGGCAGGTCCCCGCCGCGCGCGGCGTCCAGGGCGCGGCGCAGCTCGGGGTCCAGGGCCTCGGACAGGCGCTCGGCCTCGGCGCCCAGCCCGGCGCGCGCGGCGGCCAGGTAGGCCAGCGCCGGCTGGCCGCCGGCCTCCAGCACGCGCGCCTGCTCGCCCGCGTCGCCCAGGTAGAGGGCGGCCTGCAGGCGCGCGCGCGCGTCGCCGCGCCGCTCCGCGATCTTGGCCATCTTGGCCAGCTTGTCGGCCGCGCCGGTGACGAGGTAGAGGAAGGCCAGGCGGTCGTAGGAGTGGGTCTTCTGGTACGCAAACTCCGCGATGGCAGCGTTGCCCGCGCGCAGCGCCTCCACGCCCAGGCGGTACCAGGTGTCGCGGTCGTCCAGGGCCTGGGCGGAGGCCAGGGCCACCTCCACGTTCCCGCACTCCACCGCTAGGCCGAAGCGGATGCGCTCGTCGCGCACAAAGTGCAGGGCCACCTCGGGGTACCCCTTCTCCTGCAGGTAGGCGATGATGGCCTGCCCCGCCAGCGCACCGCGCCGGATCAGCGCCAGCACCGCGTCGTAGCGCCGCGCGGCCAGCGCCAGCTTGAACTCGACCTCCGAGGTGTCCACGCGCAGCGCGCGCGGCCGCGCCTCGCGGTCCAGGCAGTGCACGGCGCCGCCCTCCGCGCGCACCAGGTACACCGGGTCGGGCAGCGTGCGCAGCGTGCCGCCGTCGCCCCCCGGCAGCGCGTACTTGAGGTGGTTGAGCGTGGAGTACACCAGCACGCGCGACCCGTCCCAGGCCGCCGACTTGACGCGCAGCGTCTCGTGCACGCTGGCCGGGTCGGCCAGGTCGCGCCCGCCCGCCAGGGTCACGCAGTGCTTGGCCAGCAGCGCCACGCGCGTGCCGTCATCCGACCACGCCACGTAGCGCACGCCGGGGGCGGCCAGCTCCGCCACCACCGCGCGCCGCGCGACGTCAAACAGCGCCACGCGGTCGTCGCCGCGCAGGAGCACCTGCCCGGGGGCGCCGCCGGGGAACAGGCCGTCGGTGGCCGCCAGCGGGGAGGCCAGGCGCTTGGTCACCTCGCCCGCCAGGTCGCGCACCAGCAGCGCGTTGGCGCCGCGGTCCAGCGTCGCGAAGCGGTTGCGCCCGACCCAGACGGCCGCGGCGGCGGCGCCGCGCCGCGGCTCCGCCCCCGCGCCGCCGTCCTTGCCCGCCGCCGGCTCGCGCGGCAGCGCGTACAGCTCGTACCCGCCGCCGTCCACGTCGCTCCAGACCAGCACCGAGTGCTCGGCCGGGTTGTACGCCAGCGCGCGCGCGCCCTGGTTGTACGCCGCCGCCGGGTTGCGGCGCAGCGCGCACAGCGGCACGTCGCGCCCGCTGGCCAGCTCGTGCGAGCGCACGTACCGGTCCTTGACGTAGTACAGCGTGCCGGCGTGCAGCGCGTAGGCGGGGCGCTCGCGCTCCAGCTTGAACACGATCATGCCGCTGGGGGCGGGGACGGGAGGGAATGGAGTGGATTGAGAGGGGATTACTCTTGTGTGTGAGTGTGTGCCGATACTGAGCTCGGCCACGCGACTGGGAGACGGCCGCGAGGCGCAGGGGCGGCACAGCCGCCAGTGGGGTGCTTGGAACCCCGCAGCTCCGGTGGGCAAACGGAATCACAGCCTCGACGGGCCCCAGCCCTGCATCCCTGCCAGAGTTTGCTCCTAGATCACATAACAACAATCATGCCCCCCCCCTCCCCCCTCTTCTTCTAACACACCCCCACACCTGTCATGCCCCGCCGCCAGCAGGTTGATGCTGGGGTGCCCCGCCAGGATCCAGAAGCGGTCGTGCTCGCGGCGGAAGGTCTGCACCCCCACCCGCTTGCTCAGGTCCCAAACCCGCAGCGACTTGTCCTCGCTGTCGCTGATGATCAGGTCCTGCGCGGGTTGTGGAGGCATCGGTGGGGCACGGGCGTCGACTGAGTCAGCTGTCGGGCATGCAGAGGGTGCGCCTATCGTCCCTGCTGTCCAGACTATTGAGGCCCGGCCCAGGCCTGCCCCGTGCCCGTCTCATCAGCCAAACCGGGTCCAACTCCCTCCAACCCTGCAGCCTTCCTCTCCTCTTCAAAATCTGTCTCCTCTGTTTGCCCCCCCCCCGCACACACACACAAAAAAGGAAACAAAATCCAACACACCTGCTTGGCGTGGAAGATGACGGAGGAGACGTTGTTCACGTGGCCGCGCAGGGTGTCCACCTCCCAGGCCTTGCTCTCATTCATGCGCCAGAGCTTGATCTGGCGGTCGTCCGCGCCCGACACCACCAGCGGCAGCGTGGGGTGGAAGGCGGCCCAGTTCACGCCGCGGTCGTGGCCCTCCAGCACGTACTTTACCACGGCGTCGGAGCCGCCAAACAGGTCAGAGTTGATGGGGGGCAGGCGCATCGAGTCATCCGAGGGCGGGCCCGCGCCGCCGGGGGCGGCGCCCTTCTTGCGCAGCGCGCTCACGTCCCACACGCGCACTGTCTGGTCCAGCGAGGCGGAGGCCACCAGGTCGTCGCGCGGGTGGAACTGCGCGCACATGACATAATGGTTGTGCCCCGTCAGCACCGCGATGCATGTACGCGACTGCCAGTTCCACAGGCGCAACGTCTGGTCGTCGCTGGCCGACACGATCCAGGGCGACTCGTGGTGGAACTGGACGGTGCGGATGTAGTCCAGGTGCCCCAGCAGCGTGAAGAGGCACCTTGAGTTTTGGGGGGGTGGGGGGGTGAGATGGCGAGACGGCAGTGGGAGGGGTGGAGGAGGTGCGGGCCGGCTCCTGCATGGTGCACAGGGTCTGGGCCCCGCATTCACCGATGCAACATAGATGGGAAAGCCGGCCGTGGTAGGAACATGCGCAGGCCCCAGGCTGTAGATCATGTGCAGCACTTGTTACCCCTCACGCCCCTCCCACCCACCACCACCCTGTCTTCGTGCGTGGTCCGGGTCGCGACGCTCGCACGATGGCTGCGTGCGGGTCGATTAGCCTGCCGTTCGATCGTCCGCCCTTTTATACCCCGAGCCATCCGCCGACCGGCCCCTGCGCCCCTCGCGCACCTCCGCGTCTTGTAGTTCCACACTTTGATCTTGTAGTCGTCGCCCCCGGACACGAAGAGGGGTTGAGTGGGGTGGAAGTGGATGCCGCGCACGGGCCCCTCATGCTCATCGAAGCGATCGATCAGCGTGCCCATGCGGTAGTCCCACAGCTGTTCCGGGGGGATGGGCGGGGTGCAGGGTGGGTACGCGGGGACGGTCGCGCCAACCCTCCCAACCTGCTCGTGCGGGGAGATCCGAGTCAAGAAATGCATCAGGCCCCCGTCAGCGCACCTGGACCACGCCGCTGTGCAGGGACGCCAGTATCCATGGGCGCTTGGGGTGGAAGCTCAACCCCTTCACCCGGTTCGACTTGGTCTCAAACTTGGTCAGCATTTCGTCTCGTGGGATCCAAGTCCCCGAGCCAACTCAGGCACTTCCTGGGATCCTCAGTGGGGGCCCAGCATTCATACGAGCATCCCCGCTACCGCAACTAACCCACCCTCCTCCCCGAGGAGGAAGAAACCAAGGCTCACGGGGGATCCTCCTGCATGCCAGGCCGAGGAGGGGGCCACTCTTTTGCAACTCAAAGTCACTTTATCTCCACCATCCTTGAAAAATTGTATCTCCTGCCTCATTTGTCACCGAGAGAGTCCCTGGCCGCAGAGAGGTGCACACATCAATGCTGCTCGCCGGCACTGCCCAGCATGCAGCGGGGTTCAGAGGAGCGCTGAAAGGGGCCCTCCCGCCGACGTTCCTCAGGCCTATGAGGTGAACAGGATGGATGCAGCAACGTCCTCGTTTCCCTGGGCGGATCTGAGGGCAGCCAGGCTCTGCTCCCTTGAGAATCCCAGCTCCACCAGTTTCAACACCTTTCCCTCCCACCCAGCTTGCCCCCCGGTCTGCACAGGCTGGGTCTGGGCCGCAGCGGCGGGTGGTGCGGACGCTTGGGTCCCGACTGCAGGGCTTGGAGTTGCCTGCGGCGCACTGGCAGCCGTGGTGTGACTCCGCTCTGTGCAGGAGGGGAAAAATAAGCATCCTGGATCGCCAAACAACGATGCACAGGGGAGTGGGACGGTATAGCACCTTAGCAAGGGCATGCAAGGGCAAGAATCCCTTCAAATGAGCAGCGCCCCCTGTCTCAGCCCTATTCAGCCTCAGAGCGCCTGCTACGGCGTCCGCAGAGGCCTGGCAAACCTTGTTTATCCCTGCACATATGCACACACCTGCATTATTTGAGGCAGAGAGCCCCCCCATCGGGTTCCGCTCTGGTTCCCCTTGTGGAATCTCGTGCTCGGGTAGAAATGGCAGCTGTGCCTCCGTGGACCCAAACCGAAGAACTCCAGCCTTGAGATCGACGCAGCACTGCAGGGTAGCAGGAGTGAGCGCTGTTTGGGTCTTCCAAAGGCCACCACGATGCATATGCTCACACATCCCACTTCGGGCACCTCGGGGTTTGTATCCTGCACTGTGTCCCTAGCGACCAGAGCCTACACCAAGCAAAGGCACTCCTCATCCCAGGCATGAGATCAAACTCTCACCAATTCCGCACCTGGTGCCTCCGCAGGTTGTCTAGGCCAAAAATGAAGTCCTGACCCAGGTTGTCAAGGATAGCAATAGAGATGGGCAGATGGTGCCCCCCCGCCAGTAGAGGCGCCATATGGATGCGGCCTGTACGGGCGAAGATGGGGCTGTGGAGCAAGTCGCGGATGGAAAGCCTCTGCTGATGGCTTGAAAGCATACCGCCCCAGCGTCACCCTTTTCAGGCCACCATGCGTCCGGTCCTCACCGAGGATCTTGGCAGAGCCCACGCCCACAGCCGTGCCCTGGAAGCGGGTATCCATGAGACGCAGCAGGCCGCAGCGCTCCGCACAAGACTGTGACATGATGGTCACCTGGGCCCCGCTGTCCACGAACGTCTTCAGGGCCACCCCATTTACTTGCATGAGCACATACCTGGGCCAATAGCAGGGGAACTGGAAACTGGGTCAGTAATTCTGGCTTGGCAGCGTGGCAAGGGCTGGTCCTACCCATGCTCACACTGTGCAGTGGGAACCCTTGCACCCGTCACAGCGCTCTGCCCTCCATCTTATTCCCCTTCATCTATCAAGCCGACTCACAGCATGGTCACGTTCCCGAATGCTTCAGGGTTGTACTCCATGGCAGCCTCAAAGTTCTCTGCCACGTTCTTCTGTCGAATGGCCTCCTCCAGCCGCGCCTGCACCTCCGGGTTGAAGGGATCCTCCGCCGCCATGCGGGCAAAGCGCGCCTCCTCCTCGTCGGCCCTCACCCGCTCTGCCGTCAGGCGCCGCATCTCGTCCTGGAAGGCGGGGATGTCCGAGTCCCGCACCGCCCGCGCCAGCTCCGGGGGGAGCTGGGACAGTGCGTGTGGGTTGGAGGCCAGCATGCGCAGGAGCGCGCCTGGGTCCTCTGCGCTTCCGTCCGGCCTCAGGAAGGCGCGCAGGGACGAGGGGTTCTGGCTCGGGGCGGGGGCACGGCCAGTTGGAGCCAGGGACAGCATGAGGAGGTCGCCTTCCGCCAGTCCCTGAGCGCCGAGGGTCTGGTCGGGCTGCAGGGTGCGAGAGCCCAACGTGAGGCGTTGAGCGGCAGCTGGAATGCCGGTCTCGGCCTCCACAATGGCCGTCAGGGTGCTCAGCTCGTCCGAGCCGTCCAGCTGGATCCGGGGGTGGGCGAGATACTTCTGATGAGTTTACAGCGGGGCCGTTTGGGGCAAATGTACTTGCCGTGCTGGCGAATTGTGTCGACAGAAACATCGAGATCACTTCCTGCTCGACCCGTCCAGCCCACTCACATCCACAAGTAGGACTCGCCCGTCAATCTCAGCTACAACAGTGAGCTGCATGTTGATGTCGAAGGGATCTGCAACCAACGCTGGGTGAATGAGGGCCACTGCCCATATTCACTCCCCCTGTCGCCCTCCATTTCCAGGGCGCGATGTGGACCGATCAAAGATTGGGGCCCTGGCGCACCTGGTGCCAACATCGCCGCTGTCCTCACAGACAAGTACCGCCAGGACGATTGGTTTGTTCCAAACTCACGCCGACTTCCGTGCAGGAGTAGTGGACGAAGTCTTGGTGTCCTGGGAGTGGGCCTATCACTGCGGAACCACCGGGTCCCTCAACCTCGAAGGGAATCCTCACGGATGCTGGGGTGCCAGCCCCTCAAGCACAGTCTTGTGTCTCATGCGAGACCTTCGGGTCCCCTCTGCTCCGCACCTCTGCGGCTAGGATGTTCCCTGGGCCGGGGGACAGCAGGAGTGCCTACCCGGCAGCCTTGCAGTCGCACTCAGGTCGGTGGGCATTGTACCTCGCGAGACGAGTCTTGGATCCTTGTGTCCGTGGAGCTGTTATGGAATACCTCCTTTCGTGCAAGGTCGTGGGATACTCTGAACTATGCCTCCATGCAGGACACTCCCAGCGCAGTATCACAAGCTGGGACCTGCCCCTTGATTCATCCTTGTGCCTGACAAAGTGGTACTCTCAACAGTACTCCCTCCCCTGCGATCCATCACCGCAGCCCCTCCATGCGCGTCTGCGGGAACCTCGTGCCCCTCTGCCGCCCCTTCGTGCACTGTCCCCTACCCCTGCTGCATCCCCGCCCCCCACCTTGGACCCTGAGGTCGAGGATGCGCGGGAGCGACTGCGGCGTGCCGCGCTCTCCTGCTCTCGGTGGGGCTGGCTCAGCTTCTGGGTCCAGCTCGTCCTCTGCACGGTGGCCGCGGTCATCACCCTCTTCTCCATGGCCTTCACCTCCCAGGTAGGTCGTTTTTGGGCGATTATCATGAGGGACAGCGTGCGCTTGTCTGTGCAGTTCTGAGCAGTTGCACAGACTGCGTGAACATGTAGAGCCTTAATGTACAATCGTCCTGGAGGCTATGGGTCGCCTGGTGACATGCTGTTAAAGACGCATGGTGGTCAAGTGCAGGCGCCCAACCTCTCTGCGTGCCGCAACTCTGCAAAGAGTCCAGCCGGTTCTCGTACCACCCACCCCGAGCACGTGCTCCCATCCTACCACCACTATCCACCCCCCACCCCCCCTTGCCACCCTCAGACTGGCCCTGGCGTCTCCCTGCTCCTCAGCCTGTTTGGCATTGCCATGGGCTACCTGTCCACCTTCTGGGCGTTTGGGTACACGCGCCTCTCGCGCCGCATGTTCCGCTTTCTGGACACTGGGTCGCCCCGCATTCGGCGGTACGACGTCATCGGGACCCTGGAGAAGGTGGGATTGCTGGGCTTACGAGGGGGCTGGGTGCTTGCCGCAGAATAAACAACTGGATGTCGGGCCGTATGGCACGGAAGGGTTGCATTGTGAGGGGCCCCGCGCATGCTTGTTTCGGTGAACAGTGCGGATCAACGCGTGGACCATGCTAGACCCAGAGTCAAGAGGCAGTAAGCCAGCACTGCGTACACACCGAATATCCACCCTGCTCTTACTACCCTTTCCCACCTCCCCCCCCCCCCCCCTTTCCCGCAGGGAGCCATCATAAATGTGCTGGGCCTGTTTGCCACGGTGCTGGGCCTGCAGTCAACCATCGGCATGCTGGTGGCCAAGACCCTGACCACCGCCACGGTGAACCCCTTCATGGCCAGCTCCTCGGGCAGCTGGAATCCGGTGCTCGCCTTTGACGTCTTCAACGTGCAGGAGGGTTGAGGGGTTCGGAGAGGGACGGGGGGATGCAATATAAGGCAGGAATATGTGGAAGGATGCCGGACGCTCTGCTGTGGCAAAGGGCAGGGCTGCACGGTCAAGAATGGGCTAGAACCATGTTTTTATCATGTCGCGAGACCTGTGCCAGCAATGTATGCCCGTCCAAACCTAAGCTTGAATCACCTTGCCCACCTCTGCAGGCGACCACGAATGCCATATTCGCACACTTCTTCAGCCTGGCAGCCACGCTGTGGCTCCTCCGGATCGTGGCTGTGGGACCATCTGCCGCCGCAGCCGCTCGAGCGGCCGAGCAGGCATCGCTCGAGACACCCTCGCCCGCCTGAGCATGAGCTGGGCATGCGTTGCAAGCTCTGCTGCCTCGAATTGTTGGCAATAACCTAACAGATTGAACCTGGTGGTGTTGGAACCGAGAGCACAACTAGGTCAGGCATGGTTCCCGACATTGAAGGGGACGAGGCCCATGATATGCAATGCTGATATGGCCCCCTCTTGAGGGTCGACACATGGCGGGGAGCGCGCCAGCCGGGGCATCAGATCCCTTGCCAAAGGAAGTGAGTCATCGAGACCCCCGAAAGTACTGCGCCCCGTGGCAACGCGGTGAATTTTGCACCCGATATACATCTTTCACAAAGATGTCGAGCGCCATGCCTTCAAGGGGGGCGTTGGAGGCATGTTGGTAGTCTCCGAGCCAACGCAGGCGTTTTCTGTCGAGGTGAACCCTGCGCGGACGGCGCAATTCCCCTAGGACTACAAACGCGGGTTTAAAGGCGCAAATATGCCTGAGTTGCGACTCTTCAATCGTCGGTGGCACATCTCCACAGGTAGGGTACCCTTGTCCGTCCGGAGTCTTGGAGGGAGTGTCCTCCGGAGCCATGTACGACAACTCAGGTTCACCCCTTCTCGCCTCGCAGATGTGCTCCCTCTCCTGGGAGCATTTCTGGCAGTTTGCCACGTCGTCTACTTTGTGCCGATCCTGGCGGGTGAGTGGTGGCCCTCTGAGCTCTCAGGACCCCCCCCCAGGTTCCTTGATGATGCCTGAATCTCTCAAGACTCCCCCTGCTTCCCTCGGTGCCCGGAGCCAACCCTTTGTGACGCCTCTCCTGCGCAGGCGCCTGGACTGTGGAGAGCACTGGCATCCAGTACAGCTGCAATGTGGGCACCCAGCTCCGCGTCGCAGTGTACAGCCTGCTGGGCCTGTTTGCGCTCAGCGTCATTGTGGAGTTCAGCCTCACCTCCATCGGGCTAAAAGGTGCGCGGGGCTCACCATGGCTGAAAACGTGTGTGTCATACAGACATGCAACCGTACGCCCAGCTTCCTGCATCTCCTTTTCTGAGGACACTCTTACACCGCTGAATCCTGAGTCTGCTGCCCCCTGCTGCCCTCCGATCTGTATCAGGTGGGCCACTGGAGGAAAGGAAGCGCAAGCCCATCCACGTGCTCCTGTACATGGAGGTGGCGCTCTGGCTGACCCTGGTTGTCTTCACGGGTGAGCAGGCGCGGGGCAGAGGTTGGCGGACGCCCGCCTGCGCCCTGTCCGAGCCGGTTGCACGGTGCCGAGCTGGCCCTGTGCGTCCTTCCCTGTTTTTGAGCACTGCAGCCCAGCTCCGACGCCACTCCCTGGGTGTCATATCTCCCCCCCACCCCACCCCCCAAACTCTCTACCTGCCCCACCCCACTTCAGCCTATGGGACGTACATCCTGGCCTCCCCCAAAGTGCCCACCTCCTGCTGGGACAACAACCCGTGCGCCTACAGCACCGAGATCCCTGCGGCATGCACCGGGGCCCTGAACGCTGAGGGGGTCGCCACGCTGTCGAACGCCTGCCAGCTGGTGGTGTCCAACATGAACGACTTCCAGTGAGTGTGGGCAGGGGTGGGCAAGGGGCTTGCCCTGCTGGGTGCTGCCTCGGCGGCGGGCTCGCATCCCTACACACACACGCACCCCACCGGCCATGGCCAGGCGCACCGCCTCCAGGCGCGGTGCATCCCTGTCGGCCAGCCGTGCCGATGCGACCCCTGACCAGGAAGTGGCCCCGCTCCTCACCCCCTACCCCCGCAGAAGCTGCTATTTGGAGTGGTTCACGATGGGCATCGAGTACACAGTAACATCATTCCCAAATTACACGTATGACTGGGACTGCGACGCCAACCACAACTTCACCGCGGAGCAGTACAGCCGCTTCCTGGTGGAGGCCGAGTTTGGCGGTGAGCACCGGCATGGGGCCAAAGCAGGGGAGAGGGAGGGGGTCCGGGTGCCCTGGGCACGGGCCACCCAGACCCCTCGCACCGGCCATGCACATGCAAACCCCCGGCTGGACAGCCGGCAGGAGTGGGCCTGAGCCCGGGCCATCGAGCTCAGGTCCTGCCTGCCCATGGGTTTGACAACGGCAGCTCCCCGCCCTTCACCCTCCCTCCCTCCCCTCCTCCCCGCTCCGAACGCTTCCCTCCCCTCACATCCTTTGTCAGGCAACGTCACCGCTTACAACGAGGCGGTGAACAGCAGCACCGACGACGGCAACGATGACAGCGACGACGCCGACGACTGCACCGCCTCGCCCCGCTCCGGCAGCGCAGCTGACATCGCCAGCTACAACGCGCGCCTCAAGCGCTGCGGCAAGTTGGCCTTCCTGCTGGAGGAGTCGTTCGTGCAGATGCTGGGCATCCCCTACGACAACTCCAGCCTCTCCACCACCGTTCCCTGGTCCCCATGCCAGAACCAGACCTGCCAAACTCTGCTCATGGCGGGGGACGAGTGCACGGAGTGGGATGTGCTGTTCAAGCTGGGCAACCCCTCCTCCCGCAAGGGCTTCGTCATCGGCCTGGTCTGGGGATCCTGGGCCATGCTGGCGGTCACAGCGTGAGCAAGATGGTTTGCTTGGGGGGGGGGGGGCGGCGCGCGCGCGCGCGCGCGCGCGCGCGCGCGCGCGCGCGCGCGCGCGCGCGTCGCGCGCGCGCGCGCGCGCGCGCGCGCGCGCGCGCGCGCGCG